ACCGCGAAAACCGTAACCGACGGTCTTCACAAAAACGTAAAACACTGCCTTTACTTTAAAGGACATTTATTGATTTAAAAATAAGCAAAAACATATGCAATATATTTAATAAAGCTGTCTGTATATCAACAAAACTACTGTATTAAGCATCATAATTTGTTAATGAAAAATTCTTGAATTTTTTTCGCGGAATTTATTGAAGATTAATTAGACAAGAAAACCCACTTTAGAGAGAAAATTCAAACAAGCTCTTAGTGCGCAGGTTTAAGACCATAACCGGGGCACAACATTGCAATATTTAATTTTATGACGCAATTTGTTGCATTCCCATGCAAATCCTCATTAAATCATTGTAACTTTAACCTGAGCACAAGTCAACGTTTAATAGTCGAGTATCTTAAGATTGGTTGGGCTGTGTTTATATCAAACAGCTTTTGGGCTCGCGACCGAAATTCATAATATCTTAGGAAATTAAGTGTCCGAAAATTTAATAAACATGACAAGAATACAAAAATAAGCCCTTGAACTAAATGCCCTTGAATGTGCACATATCCTGAGAATTTGCGAAATATCTTAGTGTAAATCTCAACTGTTATTCGTAATATTTTAGAGATAATTTCGTAATGGCTTGAATTACAAGTAATTATGAATGTATCAGGCCAGGGAAAAATTCAAAGAAGACGAACGTGTCTCTAAAATTAACAATTAAATTTCAATTATTTGTATTTCTCTTTGCATTCTTTGTACCTTCCAGAGAAAGAGAGTCGTCCTATGTAACGTAAAAAATAAGTGAAAAAAATCCAGATATACAAAAACAAACCTGCCTAATAGGCGTACAATATATTCCGATTTGTCACCTTTTTTGATTCGTCAAGACTCGCGTATTTATTTTTTTTTTGTCGTTATAATTACAACGACAAGATTATAAATGCTAGATGAACAAGTAAACTCATTGGATTGATAACATTCAAAATCATGATTATATTGGGACTGATTACAGGAGACACTTGGCCTGGCTCGCTTTGCCAAGATCTGGACGCGTTAATTCAACACAACAAAAATCAATTTAGTGATTATTAGCTGACAAAAGAACCAGCCTGGTTAACCAGGATAACCACCTTGAGATGCCAGCATCCGGGATCACCCGGCGGGCTGGACTGTTACCATGCACGTTCGCCAGCAACAGGACAGCGGGTAACACACTGTTCATGCGTACTGCTTCCATTCTCTCTGTAAACATGGCGGCTCCGGATTGGCTTCCTTTATGTATTGCCTGGTCAAAAGTCACCTCCGGTAAAGCGAGGCAGCCCAGCTAATGTAATCAACCCCCTAAGTTGAAATAAACGGATCGACAACTTAGATATCCCAAAATTTGCTTGTTGTTTATGCTACAGTTGTTCTTTCTGTCAAGTGAAAAAGGTGCCTTATGAGTCAAACGAACATAAACTTCTAGTCCTCAGACGATACCGTTTTCTGTGCTGTCAGTGTATGCCGTCACTCAAGAAAACTAAAAATAGCAAACGACTCCAAAATAGAAAAAAACAAGCGTTTAAACCTAAGATTAAAACAATTGCAAAAGCGCGAGTATGCGAAAACTCCTCGCGGTGAACACCATCTCCGCAGTCTGTGCGTAATACAGGTATACCATCCTCTGTTTGCGTTGCAGATTGTGCTTTATGATTGCTGCTACAGTGAAAACAACGAAAAACCTCAGAGACATGAAGACGGTGTTGATATGTGATAGTTTTGTCGCTCTTATGCCCGCCAAAGCGGTCAGATAAAACTTCTATTAAAGCACAGTCGCAAAACAAACACAGGACCGAAAGTGTTATCTATGCCGTGCTGACGAGTCCAAATAATCATTGCTGTCACTTTCGGCGGAGTCGAAAACTACACCTAAAAGGGGTCTGAGGAGATTTTCTTGTTATCAAGTAGCGTTTCATTCACCATGATGTAGAAATATTGGCAAAGGTATGTGTAAAAATTTCTTTTCTCAAAACAGATCAGAGGTTTTCTAAACCTCAGCTAAAAATTCTCTACGCCCTCATAAAAGCCTTTGATTAATTCCTTCAGCACTAAAAGTTTTTCTAGCAAACTGTCAAACTGTTTCGTAAATAAAAGGAACAGAAGAGACCAGTTAAAATGGCATCCTTAGCCTTTTTTTAAAATTTTTTTTCTCCTCTGACCGCCGTCAACGGTGACATTTGATGCGCAGACATACTGACCAGACTGCAGAGGTGATGCAGCTAGTGCCTAGATCTCATATTAGTAACCTAATCATTATAAATCAGAGCCCTCATCTTAACAGTCACTTTCTCCAGGCAGTTCCTCGTCAAGCTTTTTCTCTGGTTCTTCCACTTGTGCTCGGGTCTTGTAAGGAGGATTGAAGAAACTGCATGCTTCAACAACTTGTAGTTCTTCATTGGCAGGTTTCTTTTTCTTCTTTGGCGTCTCATACGTCGATGTTCCTTTGTTTTTGGCAGCTTTCTTTTCCTGCTTGACCGGTACAGCGTCCCCACTTGCGCCAGCTTCCGTCTTTGGCTGTTGGCAAGCACGGAAGTCATTTTTATAGCACGTGATTTATTTATCTAATGCCCTGTTCACATCATCATAATCATCATCATCATTACTATTACAGAAAAACCCCGTAAATACGGACTCTGAGGGGCTCATAGAAAGTGTCCGTATTAACGGGGTGTACGTATTAAGCGGGTTGAATTTAGAGAAATCGCATTTGGAATTAGAGAAATTTTAAGGGCTTTCTCTCCCTTGGGACAAAGAAAACTGTCCATAGTAATGAGTTGTTCGTATTAAGGTGACTCGACCCAGTTTTTGAGGGGGTACCATCCTACTTTGAAGCTCTCTGGTATCCCCACCTTTATTTTTATCGTAAGTCTAACACATAGAATGGATAACATATAGATCAATCTACAATATAACATAAAATTTTTGGCGATCGGAGTAAATGTCACGTGGTTATAATGCCACGCCCCTTTGAGGTCTGAGTCGAAAATCTGCTGTTGCCGGCATTTTTTCGTGAAAATCTCTCGGCTACACATAGTGCGCATTAGTGCCTTGCGCTGAACAGAGTTTCACCAAAATCGCAAAGACCCAATTCGAGAAATTCAGCGGTTTCCAAATTTAGGTCATAATTTATGCGAAAATGATAAGCAAACTTTACACGGATTATATCTAATAAACTATGAGATTCATCTCTTTATTTTGGGCATCGTTATAACAGATGGGTCCTTGCAAGTCAGGAAAACGCGCGCGATTTCGAGCAAAGCAAAGATATAGAAATTATAGTTTTCGCTATTTGTTGACGTTTGTCAGCGTTTAAGAGTCCTTCTCACGAAAAAAGCATTTTCTTAAAAATTCGTAGTTTTTTTTTCTTCAAATTTTTTCAGGGTCACAATTGATTAACTAACTACCTGGACTCTGAATTTCATGGTCATTGAAAAACGGTGACATTATCTTCTATAAGCCCAAACTTGAGTAAACATTGAAGATTTTTAGCGTTTTGGCTGAGTTTGTGCTTTGGGAGTTGTCTATTGTTTCTAGTCTGTCATTATACAGCATTCTTGTTCAGCACGCGTGCAATGACCACGCTTGGCTGACTTCCGAATGCTGACCGAGATATTCCCGTCACGAGTTGGTTTAATTATTGGCTTGCATTAAACCTATGAAAAAATGATATTTTTTTTAATAGTAAGTAGATTAAGTGTGTAGCACTTCTTGATTTTTTTGCAAAGGCACAAGAAGCACGAGAATTGATTAAAAATTGTGAGTTAAACCTCTATGTAACACGCGATGGACTGTCTCACTGTACCAAAAATAACATATTTCGGTGAGCTTTCGGAAGTCAGCCAAGCGCGGTCATTGCACGCGTGCTGAACAAGAATGCTGTATAATGACAGACATTTACTCCGATCGCCAAAAATTTTATGTTATATTGTAGATTGATCTATATGTTATCCATTCTATGTGTTAGACTTACGATAAAAGTAAAGGTGGGGATACCAGAGAGCTTCAAAGTAGGATGGTAACGCCCCCCAAAAAACTGGGTCGAGTCACCTTAAGCGGGTGTCCATAAAGCGGGGTTTGACTGTACTTTAGGGGGTCATAGAAAGTGTCCGTATTAACGGGGTGTACGTATTAAGCGGGTTGAATTTAGAGAAATTGCATTTGGAATTAAAGAAATTTTAAGGGCTTTCTCTCCCTTGGGACAAAGAAAACTGTCCATAGTAATGAGTTGTCCGTATTAAGCGGGTGTCCATAAAGCGGGGTTTGACTGTACTATCACCATTATCATTATTTTGTATATCATTATCATTGTCACTTCTATTACATGAGAGTTAAAGGAAAGTGCCTTTTGGGAAGCACATGTGTGAGGTGTCCGTTAAAAGAGAGCTGTTTGTAAAAATGTGTTACTGTATAACCTATATTGTGATCACATTCAAAGCAAACGAGAAAAATAGTCCTACCTGTCTGTAAAGTGAAAACATGAGATTTGCAAGACCAGTGGGAGACTTAGCACCATCCTTTTCTTCTTTGAAATCGTCCTTATCTTCTTCTTCTTCTCCTCCTTCTTCCTCTTCCTTTCCTGCCCTGAATCGGAAGTACATTGAATTTTCAAATCCAGTTGTTGATTCAGATCGCTTCACGTGGGGTGTGCCATATTTTTGATCAGGTTCCTGGTAGATTGGGTTGTCCAGCGTAGTGACGTTCGCTCCCTCTTCATTGGTGCCGTATATCGGGTTAATTGCCCCAGCGTTTTCCATTTCCTGATTGGCCATATGATGCATGTACATGGCATCGGTGCGCGTTTCGTCGTCAGTGTTGTCTCTAAACCGCTGGCTTCTGGCGAGTCTGCGCTCCTTTGCCCTTAGGCTATTCCTTCGGCAGCGTAGCAGCGATACCGCAAGTACGACGAATAGGAGACCCCCGGTTGCTCCAATAACATAATACAAGCGTTTATTCATAAAATGCTTGTTGTCCGTTAAGGGCGAGTCCTCATTTTCTCGATCAACGCCAAGCATTCTTTTGCATCGAGTCCCAAAAAACCCAGAGCCGCTAGAGCCGCTACAGTTGCAAGTAAATTTGTTGATTCCATCTACGCAAACCCCCTCCGTACAAGGCTCACTCGCACAATCATCTATATTTGTTTCACAATGCAGACCTGTAAAACCAAGCGCACAGCTGCAGTTGTATCCATTTAAGTGCATCCAACACGTAGCGTTGTTTTGACAAGGGTTCGACAGGCAGAAATTAATCATATTCGAACAACTCATGCCGTTATAATATCCACTGGGGCACGTGCAGTTGTAATAATTCACGTAATCATGACATGTGCCATTGCCGCACGGGCTCGACAGACACTCATCTATTTCAGAACAGTTGACACGACCGTCACCCGAGTATCCCGCGTTGCAAGGACACGTGTAATTCTGCCAATCAACGCGTCTACACTTAGAATTCTCTTGACACGGAAGTGACCAACAAGGGTCAATTTTTGTCACGTTGACGTCAACGGTGCCGTTAAAAGATAGCGGGGGAATTCCATTATCTTCCGCTTCTATAAGAACCTCATAGATACGGTAATAGTTATAACTGAGATGCGACTTAACTGTCAAGTAGGGCAGGTCACCCTTTGCGTCATTCACTACAGAAGAATTGTTGTCACAGGTATCTTTGATAGCAAACGTGTCCTGATGATGCAGAAGTGTATAATTTACTTTTTGGCTGCGTTCAGGGTTACTGCATGTGATCTGCGCGATACAGTAACCGATCGAAACGTTTTCTGGAATGGAAATGTTATTAGGAATTAATCGAATCTCAGTTGGTGGCTCATTGACGTCAACAACACTGATATTGACGTCACTAATGACGTGAAGTGGAGGTCCTGTTTGTTCCACTGGTGCATCTGTTGCTTGAATGCTGACCAGCAGCACTGCAGGCACATGTAAAGCCTCATAATTCAGGAATGATGAATTTATAACATAGAGCTGGTTTCCACTGGTGTTAACCTGGAAAAAAGTTCATTCCAAAAAAGAAGTGAGACTGTACGTTCTTCTTATTTTCCTAAGTGATAAAATCTTAATTTTTAACCTCTTGAATACGATTGTCACTCAAATGCAGTTCAAAGTCAGGTTCCGATGAAGGACTAAAGGTCACAAATATATCAACCTGAGAAAACAACTGACGTTTTTCCACTAACTGACGTCTGTGAAACAACTGCAGAGATTCCATACTAATGACGTTGGTCGTGCCGAAAGGAAAATTTGCTTTTAACCAATCAAAGCACTATACTTACATCTGGGTAGTGAGACGTCATCAGTATGGAATTTTGTGCTCGTTCCTCAGACCGGCATCATTTCGCGGGGTAACGAAAGGTGGCGTCGCAAAATATCGGCTGTTTTCTCAGCCTTCAAATACAGCTTTTGTTCAGTTTCAGACCTTCATCGGAAACCAATCCATTGAAGGAGCGATATGTCTACAAAAATATGGCCAGCATTTCACGCTAGCTACGGAATAGTTCACCAAAAAGATGGACAAATTTCATTTGTAATGGCTCATTCCCTCAAACGATAGTAGTAGTTTGTCGAAGGTCAGTTCCACTGCTCAAATTTTGGTAACAAGCGTCGTAAAAGGTCCAGTATTTTAACGCTATTGTCACTACTACGTTTTTCCTTTCTGTTACAAATTAAGTAACCTCAGGGAATTTTAAACAACAGTGCGCGTAGCTCTAGATTTCCACAAGGCAACAAACTTCGAAAGCATTCTGAGAGCCGTAGTATGATAGTGTGACTTCATTGTGAAAACAGCCTACATATTGGCTCGGGTGGTATCGGCCTATTGTGAAAATGGCCTATCTATTGGCCAGGGTGGTATCGGTCTATTGGCATCGATTGATATCGATTATCCATGTGGTTTTCCTTCGGCACTGTTCATGGTTTAACAAATAAAGAAGCCTCCTAAACTGTGCTATGTTCTGTTGTAAAGCACGCAGGAAGCAGTTAGAGCACGAAAGAAGTGTAGGGGAAAACACGAAACGTAGTCGAGCGTTTCTCTCTACTTCTTGAGTGCTCTCAGTCGCTTCTTAAGTGCTTTACAGCAAAGCAGAGCACGGTCAAGGCTTCTACATTTGTTTTGCTAAATTCCCCACGAATTAAATTCCTGACGCATTACTTCACTGCATTACTTCCTAATTTTCAAAACAAAATGTTTATTGATGTCCATAGGAGTTTCATTTTGTTTTCAACGCAAACGAGAGTGTCACCAGAATGTCTTTTACTCTCATAAAGCACGCTTTTTCAACCAATCAGAGAGCGCGTTATTTCTTAAGTTTATTATAAATGTATGAAGGCATCATTCTATGAAAGAAAAACCAGCAACAACAACAAAATGCATTTTTACCTGGAAAACAGACGAGTAATGTCCAATGACTGTAAAAATGTGCTTCTGCCCAATATCCGGATCCTTGCACGTGACATTTCCTACGATGTAACCGACCTGAACATTTTCCTTTATGACCGTAGCACCATAAAAGCGAATGTCGAATGGTGCCTCGTTGACATCAGAAACTTGAACGCTGAAACTTCGTTGAATGGAATATGGAGGATTTCCATTGTCAACACAGTTGACAGTAACTGTTTGATAGAACACCAAAATTCAGTTTGTCGTTAATCTCCTTCACAGCCGTTTTTAGGCTCGTCACGCAACGCTCCTCCCCACATGCGTGACGAACCTAAAAACGGCTGCGAGGAGACTAGTCTGTCGTGAAACTTTTCAAGCTTCCTGATTATTAACCGAGTCTTAGTTATCAGCCAGTTACAGTCAAAACTCCCGTAAGCGACCACCAAAAACGCGAAGGTTCAGTGATCGCTTACGGGAGGTGGTAGCTTAAAAGAATCGAACCACATGGAGTCTCTTCCGAGAAGAGGCCCAGACTCATCTACGTCTTTGGGAGAGAATTCATTACATTCAGTTTCTAAGTTACGATATGCGTAGTTTAAAGTTGTCTCTAAAAGTGCATGACATTCTCTTAGAAGTGTAGCACATACAACAAACATAGAGATCAAACCATGCCTAAAGTGGTCGCTTTTTTTGCGCTTACAAGAGGATGAGAACAATGGTATTTTCTAAAGCCAGCATCAGAGAAAAAGTGGTCGCGGTCGCTTACGGAAGGTTCCAACCGTAGTGATTTCACTGGGGAAATTTTGGTGTTTTGGATAGCTGGTCGCTTATGGGAGGTGGTCGCATATGGAGGTTTGACTGTATAACAATAACTAGTTTCCAGTCCCCCGATGAGTGTCAGGGACGGAAAGACCCGACCTCGGGAAGTTGGTTCAACGTTAGCGGAAGCTGCCGGCGGCTTTCTCACAAAAATATGAACTTATCCAGAACTATACATACCTTGTAATGGAGCCCCCCTGAGACTTTCATAGTCCAAGTTAGCCCCTTGTTTGACACGAATCTCTGAGGACGACTTAGAAAGGGAGCTGATGTAAAAGTTATTTCCTCCTTCAAGAAGCATACAGCGATGTTGCTGCCCTACATCCTCATCGACGACGCTCAGATTTGTCAGCGAGGTTCCAGTCGGGCTGTTCTCGGCGATCACAACTGTGTACGTCACATTATCGTGTATCGAGAGGGACGAGTTTAAGATTATTTCTGAGGGCCGATCATTGCTGTCAAGAACTTTGATACTCACGACGTCCTGCATTGGAAAGTTAATACATTAATCTCAGTTTTATAAATAACATAATATGCAGAACAACATAGAGCTTTATGTGGCTCCTAGGTCCAAAGTCTTAGGGAGGATTCATTTGCAAAATTGTTACATAAAAAAAAAAACGTTAGTTCTTCTCCGAAAGAAAAAAATGTAGCACAGCCCTTCCTCAACTAGGTTTTACTTTGATACTCTGTTTAATTTTTATGTCTAGGTGAACTACACCCAAAAAAGCCCGTTAGCAGGCCAATACGGTGTCCATTTGGACTCCACAATGATGAGAAATTAAGTGAATGCAGTATACGCTTAATGACAGAGCAGGAAATAATGTTTGTTTAGAAGTTGAAGGTCATTTACAGGAAAGCATTGAAACAAACCTCTTTGGAGTATGGAGGGGAACCGTTATCAGTAGCCTCAATGGTTACATTAATTTCTGGTGTTGTTTCATAATCTAATGAAAAGTTGCTCAACAGCAAGTTGTTTCCTCTGACAGCAAACCAGTCTGAAAAAAAGCAAGAATCAATTTTTGCCTTCAACAGACACTTCCAGAGCTTCCTAAGTATACGTTTGTTGCACATAAGTGATATGGATTCGTTAATTGATACAGAAAAGTTGGTTCAATTTTAAATGGCTGTTAACGTGTGATTCTACTAACGCTTAGGGGCCGACCATTTGACTTTNAGCATTGAAACAAACCTCTTTGGAGTATGGAGGGGAACCGTTATCAGTAGCCTCAATGGTTACATTAATTTCTGGTGTTGTTTCATAATCTAATGAAAAGTTGCTCAACAGCAAGTTGTTTCCTCTGACAGCAAACCAGTCTGAAAAAAAGCAAGAATCAATTTTTGCCTTCAACAGACACTTCCAGAGCTTCCTAAGTATACGTTTGTTGCACATAAGTGATATGGATTCGTTAATTGATACAGAAAAGTTGGTTCAATTTTAAATGGCTGTTAACGTGTGATTCTACTAACGCTTAGGGGCCGACCATTTGACTTTTGAGGGGTGGTATGGGTGATTTCAGAAAAAAAAATATCCTGCTGACTGATTTCGAGGAAAAAAAAATCCTTGCAAGGAAATACCTGGGGAAAAAATTACTACACTAAAAAAAATATATCTTTCTTGGTGTATAATGTTGGAAAAAATCACACCCGCTTGTATGTCAGGGAAAATAAAAAATTCTACCACCAGAGGCTTGAGAAAAAATTCTTACCCAAACAAAATCACCCATACCCGCCCCCACCCCCTCAAAAGTCAGACGGTCGGCCTCTTACTTACCTATATGTTTGATAGTAAAGAAATGACTTTGATTGACATCTTGATCTTGAGCCCGCAATATGCCAACAACTGTTCCAGCGGTAGCATTTTCGTAGATTCCGTCTGACAAAAGACTTACTCCGGTGGGCCACTCATTTGTGTCAATTACCTAAAATGAAATATAATCAAAGTTACCTTCATAATTTAACAACCCCTTGAATATGACCAGTATGGGAGACAGGTAATATGTCGCAATAAACTTTCTGGTATGAAGCATATTGACCGGCAATGAAGGTAGCAACAAAGGGATTCCATTCCCATAACATAACGTACATAAACATAAAAATTTATTTATACTCGAATTTTAGAGTAGCTAACAATCTAATATCTTCGAGTTGATACTACAAGGTACAAACGCTTTGCACGGCATCATGAATAATCTCATTGATTCTCTTTTCTTAAACAAGACCTCTTTATTTAACAGTGTTTCTTTTTTATCATTTTTATTTTTTGAGCGATAGGCGAAGTCTGATGAAAAGAAAGCCCCGGTGATGAACACTGGAGATGGGGTAAAGAGACAAGAAGCCGTTTTCACCAAACTCTGGCCTTCCCTGGTCAGTTTTGTCGCTACTTTCATCGTGAATTTGTTTACAATTAGAGGAGCACCATGATCTGCAAATGAAAGAGTTATCAATATGTTTTGGCGAAGGGGTGATGTTCGTCATTTCTTTCCCAGCCGAACGGTTCCATAATCGCACTAGTTCTATTTATTATTAGTTTGTTAGCACATGGCAAGACGGCCATGTTGGTGGTCAATACAATATGTTTTTTTTCGAATGTTACAGGTAAATGCAGTTTAGTTCCCAGCGGTGGGAAATGCTTTTGTTCTTGTTCACCAACATGGCCGCCATGACTTCACGTGCAAACAAGCAATATATAGAAGTAAATGAACGTATGAAATTTACGCTTGGAGAACGACTTGCTGCTAACAAAGTTAGCAGTCGGTAGTCCCAAATGCCCTAATTTTTTTGCTCGATATCGTGTTTATTTTTCCTCACACTTTTAAAAAGCTGGATTTTGACGGGTAAAGCTCTGAAGAAATTATGGTATCCCTTAGTAGATGGGTGAGCTCTCAGAGAAGATAATTGCGGTGACTGATATTAAGGTATATATGGTTTTAAAGAACCGATGTTTTGAGCGAAAGTCTTTCGTCAAAACCAATTCTCATAACTCTTCTGTCGAGAGCCTTAGGAATAGTTCTCAAAATATTGAAAAACTTTAATTTGCAGATGACAACACCATATCGTTGTGGCTTAGGAATAATCATTCAGCCATACCTGGATCGTGAAGGAGAGGTTGGTACTGAGAGGTGGGTTACCGCTGTCCGTTGCAACAACTGTCAGCGTGTACGTGCTTTGATTCTCAAAATCAAGCATCCTTGTAGTCACCAGACTGCTGTTTATCAATTGAAAGGCATCTGGGCCTGGTGATTGATCTTTCAAGGCCAGAGATATAATGGCAAATCCGCTGGTCTATGTAAAGAAGAGAAAGAAAGTTACAATTTAAAGGGAGGGGGACAAAGGACAAAATAAGCCATTTTGCAGTTGAAGGCTTAGTGTGCTAGCTTTTGAGTAAACGTGAGGCTGAGGTTGACCTTGATTTGATAATACAAACTTCTTTCCTTTTCTAATAAGGATTATGCTTTAAAAATGTTAGCCAGCATAAGAAGAACATGATTTACATAATAAAGCAGGAAGAGGTGTATCAAAACAAGGTCAACTCTAGCCTCGTTTCTAACTGTAACTGTAAAATGGGCTACTCTAAGGAAAACCGAATAGACTACCAATCCAGCGACCCGGGTAAAAACGTAGCGCTGCGAAACAGTCGCCATTTTTACACCTCTAACAAGAGAAAGAAGCGAAGATAAAAAAAAGTGGAGACATGCGCGCAAGCCCTGCACATCGCGCATTTCCACACCAAGCCAAATCGTTTCTGAACATAGTAGATGAAGGGCGTTCAAGGGTTTATAGGTCTCAAGAAGATCAATAAAGGAACCAAAAGGTACAACCTGGAAACTATTTTGGCAGCTTTTGCTTTTATAATCTTGTACCCAAATCAGAATTGCGAAAGATCTTTATCCACTGATTCTGTGACCCAGGAGGCTTATAAGAGAAAAATCCGAGTACTCTCAGTCAACAGGAGTCTAGTTACTAGTCCAGATGCTTCGGGTATACCACTGATCTTCTACCCAAAGCTAGTGCGAAAGCGGTTCACTAAGAAACCCGTGTCTATCAGTTGCCTACCGGTAAATCAGGATCGAGAACACTGAGCATGCCCACGAAGTAACCAGTTTCTTGGTTCTCGCTCACAGACTGGGACGAGATGGTCAGATTGTAGGGAGCCTCGTTGACATCCTGGACATTGATTAAGAACACTGTAGAGACGGTGAGCGGATTGGACAAGAACTCAGTACACGTGACCTAAGACAGAAAATTCAAGCGTGTCAGGACTATGACGACCACATCGATTCATCTTATACTATATAAATGAAGTGAAAGAGAACTTAGGTTTAAGCTATTTTTGGACTCAGGGGTGATCAGGGATTTGAGTCATTGAGTCAAGGATTTCTCCACGCCTTTTTGACAGTGAGGCAAACGGTAAATGGTACTTCAGTAGCCCATGTAAAACATTGCTCAGAATATCTATAGAAATTTGTGTTTTGTTACTTGTGTGAAAGTTAACGTCAAGCTCACGATTAACTACGCTTTGTAGTCACTAATTTCCCCTTTTTTTTGAAAATTAAATTCCTTTGGACAAAAAGTATTTGTAACAGTGTTACGTAAACTAAATTAAGAAAAAGATTATTTAATATAGTTTTCTCACGTTAACTGTGTATGTGTCGATAGTTTCGTAATCCAAAGAGTTCTTAGATACCACCAAAGTCAAATGATTAATGACCTGCAAAAATAAACAGTCTATTTATTACACAAAGGCATTGATAACGCCCGCTGTTTTTCTTCTACTTCCAACTTACTGCTCAGTACGTATCTCGCGTGGGAAAGTAAAATCTGAAATGAAGGCGGACCTGTTCTGGCACGGTAATTGTTAGGTTTTTTGTTCATGTCACACCTTTGTTGAGGTTGATATCTAAATTGCCTATTTTTGCCATAGCGTAAATAAATAGACAAATAAATAATTTAACAAACAAACTTAGAGGTATCATATCCATATAGCCGTTCTTCGTCTTCCTTTCCTGGTCGAATTGGAATTGTGTAGTTCCAGAAGATATCCATACCATCCCCACGGAAGGCAACGGAAATTCTGAGGGGAGGGGGGTAAGGGTTTTTTTTTCGGGGGTCCGAGTAAGATTGGTGACTATTAAAGACTAACAACTGTTCTGTTGAGCAACAATCTTTGACAAAAATGTTAAGAAAAATGCCCGTTGTTTACCTAATTTTAGAATACTTCCCTTTAAAGCCCGGTTCACTCAAGATTCTTTCCCCTCCCCCGCCAAAGCACAGTGTTGAAGTGTGGCCGGAACATTTTTGCTCCCGACTAAACAACATTGACCAGGGAAAATGGGCTCCTGCCAGGGAGGGGTGTGAGAAGGGGTCACCATGGTGCCAAATTCGCAGGGTGGGCGTCCTGTGAGTAAGAAAGTGCAAAATTCTTAACACTTTTTGTCCAAGATTAAAGCTATCAGTTATTTTACTGTTAACAGGTGTTTCAAAACACGAATTATTGTTTTCATTGATGACCTGATCCGGGTAAGGTGGATAGCAGTTTCTTTTGTTATGCGGCAACGGTGCTTTCCCCACATAGGAATGTTCTCATTTTTACACAGAGAATGCATAAACCTACATGAAGGCAGTTTACGCAATAAAATGCATTTACACTTCACTTTGAAAGGATGTTTTTTTGTGTTAAAAGATTTTGACCAATCACAAGAGTTGAAAACAATAGCCAAGAAAAGTTTACAATTTTACATGTTCCCCATATAGGACTTCTTTGTTATTCAAACTGAGACCAGATTTTGTTGTATGGAAGATGGTCGGAAAGTAAGGATGAATATATGTACCGCTTTATGAAGTTTTGTTAACTTTTGCTGTTTAAGCCAATCAGAAGTAAGTACAGACAATAGAAAAGTTAGCACCTTTTTTGCATTCCAACATGTTCGTTGCCGTTGTTGCTATTGTTCTTATCTGGACCGTTTCTTAATATATGGACGGCTGAATGCTTTTTTCACGGCTTAATGCGATACAATTGCCATCGGCCCACGAATAATTTTCCAGTACTGTTTCTACAATGTTTTAACTGAAAAGAAATAATTGAAGTTCACTCGGTGTTTAGTCTAAATGTAACTGGTNGGATGAATATATGTACCGCTTTATGAAGTTTTGTTAACTTTTGCTGTTTAAGCCAATCAGAAGTAAGTACAGACAATAGAAAAGTTAGCACCTTTTTTGCATTCCAACATGTTCGTTGCCGTTGTTGCTATTGTTCTTATCTGGACCGTTTCTTAATATATGGACGGCTGAATGCTTTTTTCACGGCTTAATGCGATACAATTGCCATCGGCCCACGAATAATTTTCCAGTACTGTTTCTACAATGTTTTAACTGAAAAGAAATAATTGAAGTTCACTCGGTGTTTAGTCTAAATGTAACTGGTTCTTTTACAAATGGCATTATTCGTGAAGTTTAAGGTATCGCCTCCATGGTTCTTCGACAGTGGCTCACAGTTGATTATTAGCTAAGAAAGACCTCTACAAGGGCATTGATTGTATTGACGTGGATAGAAAGTTTTTTTCCTCACTTTATCGCAGAAACAATTAAATTTCACGTTGTAGTATAGTGCAACAGCATTTTTGAAGGAAATATTCTTTCCAGGGGGGTACCCAACCAAGATGGAAAATCATGGAAATTCCAGCGGGTAGGGGGGTATGACAAGCACCACCTGGAATGGAAATTCTTGGGGTTGGGTGGGGGTATAAAGTAGAAGGGCCCTCCGTCAGGGGGTACGGATATTTTCTGATACTATACATTTGGAAATGTTGGTTTTTGAGGAGAGGGAAAACCTGAATACCGGGAGAAAAACCTCTCAGAGCAAGGGAGAGAACCAACAACAAACTCAAACCACATAGTCCAGTCAAATTGTGGTTTAGCATCAAACTAATTGCAACAGAATTTTTTTCAACGCCAGTTAATTGTTGGATGGCTGTTTAGCAACATACTAAAAATCCGCCAAAATCGGTTAGGTGAAACATGAGAAAAATTGGCAATAAAGATTTTCAACTTTCACCACAGGAGACCCAATTTCAGGAAGATCACAAATTCAGACAAAACATCTGATAATTGTGTTTTTTTTCTCAAGAATTTTCGATACAACATCGCTAATGTATTTTGGGTAGCTTTGTTTTTAAAAACGCCGACTAAATGTGTGAGAAACACCTGGGTCAGTGTTTCGTTTGGCGGCTTTGCACAGGCTACCCAGCCACTCGTCTGTCGTCACATTCGGTTTCCCAAGCTTTATTTTTTTTTCTATGACGGTATTTAAAAGGAAAATTATCAATCAGTCTGTGTTAACATGGTTAAAAATATAAGCAATTGTTTTTTTGCGCAATATCAGAAATTATTTAATTAGCAGTTTTACTGGCTGGAAATTTTTTATATCCTGCAACATGGATGCAGATTTAGTAGCTGACCGATGGTGAACAGTCTGATTTGATAGTTTGTTCACCATCAGTCAGCTGCCAAATTTGCATCCATGCTGAAGGATACATGCTGCTAAATGCGTGCAACGGACGATAGCTTTGTATCAGTACAAACTGTTTAACCTATTCCCATTTTATGTAATCGAGTTTTGTGAGGTAGATATCTTCAAACCTTGGACACAATATGCGTGATCGAAATCAGGGGTTCTTTTTTTTCTCGCGACATGCGCAACCTCCTTTAGGATTATGACTCCCTACTTTACAATGTGAGTGAAAAAATATTCTGCTAAGGACTCCTCCGTCTATTTGGTTTTTGCTAGCTCGTAACGCTCTGCGCTTTTCATTACACCTGGCCAAATCTGTTGTAAGAAAAATCCAGAAAACTAAGCGCAGTGTGATTGTTCATTTTTTTATCTTCTTGTAGCGACTCTAAGATTTAGTTTAGTGTCTTTGAGTATTCATTTTGTATTTTCTGCGGCAGCCCTTTATTTCTTGGTAAGATGAATAAGTAGATTAATCGCCCTGTAGTCTAAAGGCGTTTATATTCCCTCCTTGCATTTCTTTTGTGAGAACAACCCTGAACCTTGACCAGTTTGTTTTCGTCCATTAGCAAATGAAGATCTCTTCAGTTCTATAACGATCATGGGGTTCTGTACGTCTGAAAAAAATTACAGTGGTCAATGAAGGCGCGAAAGTACTTCACATATGTACGACATTAATGGGCTTGCCTGCTAGCTTCTGATGGCTTACCTCTTTTTCCGGAACCAGTTCTCTTCGGATGAGCGTTGTGTAACACTTCAATTTACTGCATGTTAACCTTCTGACTGAGTTGCGTGAATTATGCTCTGCGTGAGGATTTTCCATTACTCTATATACTCTTAAAGATATTTTTACGTACGCATTGTTTTTGCTAGCCGGAGTTAATCTTTCCCTTAAAAACCAGCTTCCTTATTATATTATTTCGTTTTCTTGAAACAAACGTTTGCTGGAACAAAGTTCTTACGCGATGAATGTTCCGTTAATCTTTATAATTTTTTTTGCGAAGGAAACAGCACTTTTCCTTAAATGAAAACACATTTCCCTCTTATCAAATTCATAGGCATTGGAGCTTAACATGCTCAACAACTCTGTATTGTTGCTGTTGTTGTGCATCGTAAAGAATTAGTAAAACTATCCTCCCCTCCTCTCCAATTCACTTTTAACAAGAAGAAAATGAAAAACTTCAATAAAGTAAAACTTGTATATTTGAGGATGTTGGTACGTTAACGAAAATTAATGTACAGGTAACCGTAAAAACCAAAGCATTATCTTGCTGGATTTTTGAAAACGTACAGAACGAAAATCGCAGTCTTTTGACTGAAAAAAGACCAAAAGCCGAAGGCAAAATGAGCCCGAAATTCCTCCTAAAAAAGAACTGGGAAAGGGAAAATAGAGAGAGCGAGGAGAATTAAAGAAAGGAAGAGAAGAATAAAAGCAATGGCTGTACTCTTAGTTTTTAATTTATGTTGACTTCTTTGAGAACTGTTTGAGGGGAGAGCTCTATTTTGGCCTTAACGTCGTGCAAAAATCCACCTCTGATATATATTTTTCTTACCCTTGCGGTTAACAGAAATCTGAGAAAAAAGGATATATTTTGAAAGCTAATGATTAAGTAACGGCTTTCATTTTTCAGATTTAAAGCCTTACGGCTAAATCTGTCGTAGTTTTACAGCCAACAATTCACTCTATTACCCTGAAAGCCTTCTGTTATTTTGGGGTTCCTTAAGTGGAGCATGGGCTTCCTGTCAAAAAGCCAACCGTGTTTAATATTAATTTTTTTGGAAGAAAGAAACACTTTGTTTTTATCACCGAAAACTAGGTAGCAGTTATTCTTTCTTCTTTTACTTTTTCATAAAAGTAACAAACACATTTTGTGCATTTTTTTTTGAACGTATAATTTCAAAAAAACCTGGGTGTCCTGTGTTAAAAGCTCAAAATGTTTAACGCTTAATTTTGACATGTTCCACCGAACGGATTTTGACGGATTTTTAGTATGTTGCTAGATAGCCCACCCTCACTTTAATGGCGCTGAAAACAATTCTGAGGCAATTAGTTTGATGTTGAGCCTCGAAAATGCCTAGATTGACTGGACTACTTGTCTTCGCCGTGAGGATCAGTTTGTTGCTTTTTTTTTTTCGCACGAGGAATACGAGGACATGCCGTTGTCATGGTAAATGATCCTTTTTCTGATCTTCCGTTTTTTTGGTTGTGAAGAATCCGCATGATCTGAGATCACAGATCCGTTTTGGATTCTCCCAAAAAAACGCACCCATATAGTGTCAACGACGGGATTTGAACCCGGGTCACATTGGTGGGAGGCGATTGCTCTCAACACTGCGCCATCCCTTGTTTTGAAAAGTTCTTACTCTAAAACTTTGGCAAAACACTGGGTTCACGCCAGAGATTTTGTTTTGGTCTTATATATTCTCCTCGTTAGGCTGTGAACATAACGTCACAATCCGAGACAGCGAACCACGTTAGATTGCTTAAAACACCAAGATCACTGAGTGGGTATAATATACTAATACGTGATGGTATTCTCTCTACCTCTTTGCCACAACTCGCACACAAAGTTTTCAATAATTCCTTAACCGTGTAATAACTACTGAACTTACTTTAAAGGGTCCACCATCTTCCACAACACAGTTGAACTTCTGTAGTGGCACGTTAAGATTGTCAGGGTCATATACTGACAAGCTACCGATAATTGTCCCAACAGGACTATTTTCGAGAACCTGAAACATGAAGGGAAACCTTGTTACAAAATAAGCTAAAACGTTTAGGGTTTATCTTGAATGAAAGAGAATCTTAATGATATTGAAAAGCATAAAGTCCAATAATCCAGCCCCTGTATCCATTACAAGAAAGCCACACAAGGATTTCAACTCAAGCAGGGCGGGCGTTGATGAGCCACGAGCGTCGAATGTCGTGGATTTGTATGGTTTGAGTAGTCAAACAAATTCATCTAACAGTTAACATACCCATTATAGCGATAGTAATGACACTGATATGCCAACCAGAAGCGCATTGGTTCTTGAAACAAAAGATTCTTTTGTTTTACTTGTGACAAATTTGAATAACAAAAACAATGTAAAAAGTGATGTCTCCTATAGTCCGAAGCTACTTTTAAAAAACGAACAGTTTTAAAATGTTCTATTGAGTTAACGTGAAATAAAGCCCGCTAAACCGACCAATCAAAGTGTGCCTACTAACTGATCACGAGTTAACACAATGAAACTGATGTACCTGATTGTTATTCAGCGAGATATTTTGTGGATTTTCATTAATGTTATGCACGCTGACCACAAACGAGCCTGTTACTGAGTAAGGAGGAAAACCGCTGTCTGTGCTGTTCAAGGTCACTGTATACTTTGTATACTGCTCGTAATCCAGTCCAGACTTTTGAAGAGTGACTTTTCCAGATGGCGATTCAACAGCAAAAAGGTTAAGAAGACCAGAAGTACTACCGTGGGCAAAAAGAAAAAATATAAATGATGGATATTTATCATTTACCGATTACCAAAGGAAACCGCCAAAAAGTTGTGACATATAAAAGCAACCAATGTCACGTGACGTTTAAGATAGGGCTTTAGCATTCTTAAAGTAGGAACCCAACTGATGAAGAACTTCTGTTTAACTTTCCTTTCTTTAGTCCACCACTGAGCTTTGGACTTCCCTCTTGTCTAGTGTTTCCGAGCTATAATCTCACAAATCATTGGTAAACAAGATTAACCAATTATTAGAATACGTTTTGGGATAAATCCGGAATAATCAAGCTCGAGGTAAGTGTTATCAGTGTTTATCATTTTTTTGAAGAAAATAACGACGAACACGCACTGTCGGGCGGAACACAGTTTAAAGGTACTCTTTGAATTGAAGTCATGCATTGCGTGTGCAACCTACAGATAAGTACGGTTAACTGCTACCAGATAACTAACTAATCCGCAGGTTACGCTGATTTCCAAATTGACTGCAGGATCTTCGCCATTGAGAAGACAGATAGTGAGCACAATGCATAACAATAAATCAAGGTGGTCACGATTTCTTATTTGCATAACAGCCTAGGGCCGGGCGTAAACGACCTGGATAGGTGATTTTAACTGTTCTCATGAAGCCTAAGACATTTTTCCTTGAGCAAAGTATAGTTCAGAACTGAGCAGAGAATCAAAAAAGGGCAGGGTGCTTGTTTAGCACAATTCGACAGGAACATACATCAATGTCGACAATAAGGTCATACCTGTGGTTGCCGTGCGCATGTCCAACCACGTCAACTATCTGATACTGGTGCGTCTGCCCAACATCTTGATCATCGGTCACCACAGTACCAAGGTACTGCCCGGACACACTGTTTTCAGATACATTCAGTAGGCGGCTTACTGATATTCCCGTGGGCGGATCGTTTCTGTCTCTTACGATTACTGTGAAGTTCTTTGTCGTGCTAAGTCCTACAATAAATAGACTAAAAATAAGTAAGATACACGCGGAGGGGCTGACTTAAGGGGCATGAAAGTTTATATATTTTTGTCTTTTTTAATAATTGTTTAATTTTAATCACACTGTTAGAGTTACAAAGAAGTACATAATTACGTAATAAGGAATTGAAAAAAAAATTGGAAAAAATACTAAAAAAAGGGACGAGACGAAGTGTAACTTACAACTAATTTTTATGCCCATATTTGGGAGCTTTGACGTCATCATGGTCACATGGGCTAAATACTCGATGCTGATTGGTCGAGACAATTTCTGCTGCGCTGTGATTGGTTGGGACCGTTAGTAGCCCATATTACTACTTGCTTGTTTAGCACAATTCGACAGGAACATACATCAATGTCGACAATAAGGTCATACCTGTGGTTGCCGTGCGCATGTCCAACCACGTCAACTATCTGATACTGGTGCGTCTGCCCAACATCTTGATCATTGGTCACCACAGTACCAAGGTACTGCCCGGACACACTGTTTTCAGATACATTTAGTGGGCGGCTTACTGATATTCCCGTGGGCGGATCGTTTCTGTCTCTTACGATTACTGTGAAGTTCTTTGTCGTGCTAAGTCCTACAATAAATAGATTAAAAATAAATAAGATACACGCGGAGGGGCTGACTTAAGGGGCATGAAGGTTTATATTTTTTTTCTTTTTTAATAATTGTTTAATTTAAATCACACTGTTAGAGTTACAAAGAAGTACATAATTACGTAATAAGGAATTGAAAAAAAAATTGGAAAAAAATACTAAAAAAAGGGACGAGACGAAGTGTAACTTACAACTTGACATTGACTATATAACTACATAGAGATAATCAATCACAATTTTTCTAACTGGTATTTAATTTCTATTTGTTTGGCAAAGTCTGAGAGAGTCAGTGCTTTATTATGAAGTTTACAGGAATAAATGTAAAATCTCATAAATAACAGTGTGTAGTTCAATTTTGCTGTAAGCCGGCTATTGTTGAGTAGATTTTCGGAAAGTCCAAATAAAGATTCTTTCAATGAAGGAAGTAAGTTGGAATTATTCTTAGAGTTAAACCACCTAAATACACTTTCCCTAAACGACTGTGTGAATTGGCAGTTGAAGGTGTGGTCCATGGAATCCTCTTCGCCGCAAACTAAACAATTACTATCCTGTTTAATTCCAAAACGAAACAATTCTTTTTTGGCGACAAAATTCCTATGTAAAAACCTGAGTTGAAATTCTCTTAGCTTGTTCTTTTTGCAGATCTTTCTCGCTGATTGGAAGAATGTTTGCCATTCATTTAATTCTGTGTTAAAGGTTTTTTTCCATTTCTTTGACCCAGTTAGCAGTGGTTTAGGGTTCCGTTCGTCTAAAATCCAATAGAACTCTTTAGTTTTAGCTTTGTCTAAATTGTAATGAGCTCTTGACCATTTAATAGCTGGAATAGTGGAGACTTTTCCAGATAAAACGTCTTTTAAAATTTCGTTCAGTTTTCTTGCTTTGAACAGAAGATACTTAGGGATGGCACTCAAAACTTGATAAAAAGTCAGGAAATTCGTTTTAAAACTATTTTTTCTTTGAAACTCCTCATAAGTAAGAAATTGTCCATTCTCCTGTAGAAGATCCTTTATTGAAATAATTCCTTTTGCAAACCATTCCCTTATAAAGAAAGGTTTTCCATCTATTAAAATTTCTTTGTTTTTATACAAAATTATGTCCTGTTCATCCTTTTGTTTACGTTGACGTTTTATTTGGACGAATTAAGAACGACAGTATATCTCAACAAAAAAAGGTAGTTTTGGGTCTAGATACCTTGGGTCGCAGTTGCACCTTAACAAAAAGTTGTTAAGATACACTTTCCTAACCATACTGCTTTGGTTTTTTTGACATTCAGCTGCAACAAATGCATTTTCCACAGAAATAATATCAGCACAAAATAAGTTAGTATCATCTGCAATTTGGCTTATTTTAGTTTCATTTCCAAATAAAATGATTCCTTTAATAAGATTGTTTTGACGAATTTTAGCAGCTAAAATTTCGGCACTGAGAACAAAGAGGTATGGGGAGAGTGAACACCGCTGTCTTACTCCTCTGGAGGGCTTAAACAATTTTCTCGTCCTCAATTCGAAGTTCAGTCATAGTCTTTCTTTTATAGTTTTATTTTTCTAGGTTGAAAAAATATTTAGTAGGGCGCTCTCCTTCCTCTATCCAACGACATTTAGAACGGAACATTGCTGCCTTTCCTTTAATTTTTGTTCGTAGATTGTATTCACTTCGGCTTTAAGAGCATCGTATTCTTTAAGAGTGTCTTCAATATTTTGCAGATCGTCACTATTACAAATTATTTGGTCCAACCTTTCCATTCTCATTTGTATCTCGTCTTCGCGAAGAAACATATTTTTCGCTTTTCTTTTAGGATAAGACATGGTGCTCTGTCTCATTTCTATTTTCATTAATTCCCAAACAAGACTTTTATCCTCCAATCGAGTGTATTTTTCACAAAGCCAGGGGATTAGGTGTAGGGTTCTAAATAAATAATCTTCATCGTTGAGTAGCGAGTTGTTAAATTTCCAAAACCCTGGTCCTCTCTTGATATTTTGCGCTGGCGTTAAATCGATGTAGATCGTTTTATGATCAGGTGCAAAAGAGGCGCTACTTCCGACTTTTTTAACATGCTGTAAAAAACAGTCACTAATTATATATAAGACGTAGTCTAATCTCGACTTAACATTAAGAGTTTTAGAAGCATATATAGGTATAAATATTGAGGTTTGGGTGACGTGTTCTTTGTATACCTAATAAATCAAACGTTTCCATAGTGATCAACAGCACATTCCTAAATTGTGAAGGTTTCCATGGCACTCCACCCTTTTTATCTTTTTTTGAGCGTGCAATTCCAATCCCCACCTAAGACAAGACTAACAACTTCAGCCTTGTCAATTAGGCAATTGTTCAACTCTTGAATAAGCTCCAACTGTTCCTGTAGGTTGTTTGGTGCATAGATATTATAACAGGAAATTTTCGATCCATTCACCAAAACTGTAATCATGATAATTCTACCAGATTTGCTTGCACGTGAAGACTTCAACACATAATTCAATGAAGGATCTATCAGAAAGCAAACGCCTTTGCTATGTTAAGTCCCATGAGAAAAAAATGTTTTACCTTTCTTTTCACTCAGCCAGAAAGCTTTATCACTAATTTCTGAATATGTTTCTTGAAGAGATTTTCGCCTTCTGATCTTTCAGGTAGCTGAAGATGCTACTCCTTTTCGTCGCCTCCCGAACGCCCCTTACATGAGTGAAATGACCTTCACTCCTTTTTCTTTTTGCATTAGATAAGCTAATAAGACAATGCGTTACGTTTAAAGGTAAAGAAAATACTTTAGAAAAAACCGTTCGATTCGAAACCTTTTTGAGATCCCCCTCTCATACTTAAGAGTTTCATTGTGCTTTCACCTACGAGCAGTAGTTGACATTGAGTCAAAGGTTATCAAGGTCTGATTCATAACTAATTCTTATATGGTTTCCATCCGGCGAAGTATTCCCCGAAACTTTCCCGTCAATAGTCCAAACTCCCAGTATTAATCCTTTCATTCTTCTTATCAGTCGNCTAATAAGACAATGCGTTACGTTTAAAGGTAAAGAAAATACTTTAGAAAAAACCGTTCGATTCGAAACCTTTTTGAGATCCCCCTCTCATACTTAAGAGTTTCATTGTGCTTTCACCTACGAGCAGTAGTTAACATTGAGTCAAAGGTTATCAAGGTCTGATTCATAACTAATTCTTATAGGGTTTCCATCCGGCGAAGTATTCCCCGAAACTTTCCCGTCAATAGTCCAAACTCCCAGTATTAATCCTTCATTCTTCTTATCAGTCGTCTTTTTCACCAATATTCGGCAAAATGCTGTTAGATTTTCATTTATCAAGATGCGCTCCGAGGCCACCCTAGCTTCCGCGTCGTTTTTCTGGGTAACAGGTTGGCTAAATTTCCTCTTGTCTAAGGAGTCCTGGCTTACGAAGGAACGCAGGCGCAAAGAGTAACTGGCTTTAGAGGCCGAGTATGGAGTGTGAATTTTTAAGGGAGCGCTCTCACAATAAAAGGGCGTATCTCCTCTGGCACCTATCACATAACCTATGCCCAAGATCAAGACATGTTGAGTATTGCAAAATCGTGCTCTTGTAAAATTAATATGGGCTTACCTTCGTTATCCGCTGATTTGATTTCAAGCAGCCAGGTAGTTTTGGTCTCATAATCCAAACTTCTCGAGGTATTTAGTGCGCCGCTGTCAAGGACAAAAGGAATGTTCCCGGCTGGACTGGCGATGCTATAACTGAACGTGTGCAGCACCGTCTGTTCGTTATCTGGGTCAGCAGTATCCAGCATTCCAACAGTCACAATCCCAGCATTCTCAGCGACTTCGTTGTTAGAAATTGTAATGTCATACGGCTTCTCATTGACGTCAGTAACATTGACTCGCACTGTCTTGTCGACGGATAAAGGCGGCTTTCCGTTATCTCGGCAACGCAGATCAATATTGTAGCTTTTTGTCTTCTCATAATTCAGATCACCAGCAACCAGAAGAGAGTTTGATGTCCCGTTGAGGATAAATGGTATGTTGGCGATATTAAGTACTTTGCAAGTATGGTTTTGCCAGGTTCCTCTAGGTCCATCATTGTCAGGGTCTGAAACCGAAATTTTACTGACCAGCGTTCCTCTGGGGCTATTTTCCTGGACACTGCTAGAGAGCAAAATTATGTCCGTGGGTCGTTCATTGACGTCACGTACCTGAAAAGAGTGGGGACATTTGTAAACCAGGAGTAAAAGCGGTACTTTTGTTGCGTTTGTTATAGTTCTGTTAAAAATAAAAAGTAACGACAGTTTGATTTACTACTGTACGGTTGTTGTGCTGTTTTTGTGATCGTTTCTTAACGCCCAAAGACTGCAATGTCTTTTGCCATAACAGTTAAGTTTATGAGGAATAATTGCAAAAATGTCGAATGAGCTAATCCTACAAAGGTCTCCTAGATTAATAATAATTGTGTTTAGTGTAGGAGAACGAAAAGGAGAACGCATCCCAATCTTTCCTTTCCGGTGGCTTTTACAGACAGATGACGGGAACTACCATCTGCGTTCCTCTTGCTTTTTTCCAGGGGCAATTGTTTCGGGCAAGTTTTCTTAGATCAGTAGCTAGCAGTTAAACACTAACCTGAATAGTGAATGTTTTATCGATGCTCAGTCTCGGGGAACCATTGTCTCTGCTTCTAACCGCGATAGGATACTCTGACTTTGTTTCGTAATCCAGGTTTGCATAGAAGGAAGAAAAGATCTTGTTTTGGCGGAGAATAAATTTCCAACCACTATTGTTTATCAAACTGTAGCTGTGTGTCTGATTAATATCTTCATCTATGGTCGCCAACTCACCAACAAAGCCATAGTTAAGGTTCTCGTCAATAAATGCTGTATCTCCACCTGCCAAAGTGATATTCTTCGGTCGGTCATTAACATCTAGTATCGTAACCTTAAATGGCTGCACACGGAATAAACTGCTGTCATCAGTCACGCGGACCAAAATATCTTCACTAGAACTAGTTTCGTAGTCAAGAACACCGCTGATCTTTAATGGCGTCGTACACTTTGTTTTAACGCCTGGGATGTAAGTGTTGTTGTGGCAGGTGACACTTGAGCCCACAGTAAATTTGCCGCTTGCATCGTCATCTAGAACGAACTTTAAGCTTTGAACTTCGTCATGATCCAACGCATGAAATGTCCCTACTGTTGTGCCCGTTTTAGAGTTTTCATTCACCTTGGGCATATTGTCAGGGAAGGACTGTTGTCCATATTCAGACGTCAGTGAAATGTTTATTGGAGCCTCGTTAATGTTTTCCACAACAACCATAAACGTCTTGTTGATCTGTGAGTACAGCAAAATGCATTATTTGAAAACAATCTCTTAGTGTCTTAAGACAGTAATTGGCGACAACTAAAAATAAGCGGTCGTTGCTACCCCCAAAATGCTATTCAAACTCCAGAGGGGGCGGGGTGGACAGCACGAAAAAGGCAGATACAGGAAGTATGGGGGTCTTTCTGGAGTTAACGTCATCACAAAGTTAAAGAAACAAAGGAACCAAACAACAGAGTTCTCCTGAAGGTTTTATTGATTGGTTTAATTGTTTCTTTTGTGGTACGTAATTTGTGCCTCGGTACCTACAGAAGGAACCAAGTATGGTAAAAAAAGGTGGTGATAATGTTCCTATCGCACATTATACAATGAAGTGAATGATAGGTGCACTGTGATTGGTCGTTGCCCATGATCTATTAAAGTACAGACACACTGATGACGTCACGGAAAACTTGTTTTCTTTGTTTTGTCCAGCATGGCGCGCGGTTTTGAAAGTGTTTGCGAGTTTGTTCTGCCTTCAGCAAGTTAACATTAGGAACTTCTGTTTAAAAGAAAGAAAAACGAAAAAGCCGAAAAAAAAAGGAGAGTTCTTTGCGACTTTAAAATGCCTTAACCGGAAGAAATCTTCAAAAAAAGTTGTGATCGTGTGTCACCGCTATGAGAAACCCGCAGTTTTGAAAGTGCTTATGCGATTATCAGTTCTGCTAAGAGCAAGTAATCGGCCTTGGAAAACTGTGGGAATGAACTGTTTACAAGGAGGATAAAGAAGAAAAGAAGAACCCAACACGAAGTGTAGCGTTGGTGACTTGGAAATGCCTAAACTGGTAAAAAATCCTCGAATAGTCAAGGGCTACGAGACAAGTTTGTCTTTTTTCTCTTTCTGTTCATTGTATGAAACGAATAGATTCCATGTTTCCATGCGTCTTCTTAGTAACAGAACACAGAAGTTGTCAATATGTGGTAAGAATATCAGCGACGCAATCGCCTGCGGCTTGTGTGCCAGTTTTCTCTCTCTCTCTCTCTCTCTCTCTCTCTCTCTCCCTCTCTCTCTCTTGCCTCGAGGATAGAAGAGAGAGAACCCTGGGAACGAGGTTTGTTTTTTGGTCAAACCACATTTTGACGTCATCTGTGATCTATTAACTGAAAAGCGCAGACGCACGGCAACATGGAGTATATTTATACACTAACCTCTAAAGGCGGATTACCGCTATCCCTGACTTGAGCGACAATCTTGTGAACCTTGTCAGTCTCGTAATCTGTTCTTTTAGCTTTCAACAAATATCCCGACGAATCAGCAGCAAACCGCCCGCCATCACTGTCGATTAAAGCAAACTCAAGAGTTTGAGATGTATCCTCATCTGTAGCGGAAAACTGACCAACTTTTGTTCCGATTGTGGCGTTTTCTTTCACCATGTTACTGGATAACTTCAGGTTACGTGGTCGGTCGTTGACGTCAATCAATGTGATCGACAGAAACGCTTCAGTGCTTTGAGGTGGCTTCCCATTATCCGTAGCTCGCACGCTTACTTTGTAAGTATTTTGTCTCTCGTAATTCAACTTGCAGAAGTCGCCGCCAATTTTAAGACAGTCATCGTTGGATAAAGCAACTTTCAGCTTATTTCCATCCATTTTAAATCTTCCTCCTGCTCCGTCAATCAGAGTGTAAACAAGGGTTTGATTGAAGTCAGGGTCACGTGCGGACACAGTTCCTATCAGCGCGTCTTGGGGAGGATTTTCGTTTATAACTGTGTTTGACAAAGTGATCTTAAATGGTTTTTCATTGACATCTGAAAAAGAATAAGACACAAAAATAATTCAGAGTTGGACTTTATTAATAAGTATTTGTATTAACAGTCGACTGAGCAAAGTATGACAATATATTGAAACAGACACTAATCAACCTTATACCTCTATGGCCTTAAGTCATTCTTTTATACTTCTCTATTTCGATAAAAGACTGCGAAGTCCTTCAAACAATACCACTCAAGCTGGCCCTTATCACCATTTTAACAAAGGCAGAGCTTCACAGTTGAATTTCCCTTGTCATTGACTATTGTTTCTTCTCGAAAATAGACTTCAGTTGATCCTCGTTAACTTAATTTAGCTGAAGGTCAGTGATCTTTCCAAGGCCCTTGTCGAGTCCCGCATTCTTTGCAAGTGGGTAATTTATGTAAATCAACCTTCCCGGGGAAGAGGGGGGTAACGTGATAAGTATTTCAGTGGGCTTATATTCCAGGAGAAGGTTGTATGAACTCCTGTAAATCAATTTGTCGTTACCCTCAAGCTTCCATTTATTTTGAAACTGCTTTAGTGAAAACCTCGAAAGAATCATCCTCAAAGCAAAAGTAGTCAAGTATAACTGCAACCTTTAACTTACCAACAACGGATATCTGGAAAGTCTTTATTAAACTGAGCGCCGGGTCGCCGCTGTCCACTGATCTGACCGTGATGTTCCAAGAGGAATGGGCCTCGAAATCCAAACTTCTCGTCGAATTCAACGCGCCACCATCGATTATAAAAGGTAGACCAGCGGTGTTCCTCATGAGTGTATAAGTAAATGTCTGTCTGTTTGTCAGTTGGTTGGCGTNCAAAGGCAGAGCTTCACAGTTGAATTTCCCTTGTCATTGACTATTGTTTCTTCTCGAAAATAGACTTCAGTTGATCCTCGTTAACTTAATTTAGCTGAAGGTCAGTGATCTTTCCAAGGCCCTTGTCGAGTTCCGCATTCTTTGCAAGTGGGTAATTTATGTAAATCAACCTTCCCGGGGAAGAGGGGGGTAACGTGATAAGTATTTCAGTGGGCTTATATTCCAGGAGAAGGTTGTATGAACTCCTGTAAATCAATTTGTCGTTACCCTCAAGCTTCCATTTATTTTGAAACTGCTTTAGTGAAAACCTCGAAAGAATCATCCTCAAAGCAAAAGTAGTCAAGTATAACTGCAACCTTTAACTTACCAACAACGGATATCTGGAAAGTCTTTATTAAACTGAGCGCCGGGTCGCCGCTGTCCACTGATCTGACCGTGATGTTCCAAGAGGAATGGGCCTCGAAATCCAAACTTCTCGTCGAATTCAACGCGCCACCATCGATTATAAAAGGTAGACCAGCGGTGTTCCTCATGAGTGTATAAGTAAATGTCTGTCTGTTTGTCAGTTGGTTGGCGTTATCTGGGTCAGCGGTTGAGAACAAGCCTGAACAAGGGCGATAAAAATAACTAATTAGAAGAACGTTACTGTAAAAAAATGAATGACAAAGTACCTTAAATATGGTACACTTGTGATGTCCTTCTATGATAACGGCCAGCATCAGGAAATAGAAATAGCGGAATAGGTCACGTGGTGATGTCCTAGAACGATCTGTGATTCATAGTTTTAAAGACAATACCAACAACCTGTTAGTTTACTAAACCTTTTTAAAGTTTAATTAAAAAGTTCTTAATGTTTGAAAACAGAAGCTGGTGTTTTCATCCATTATCCAGCATGATTTTACTAGGGGCGCGAAGCGTTTTCAACGGAAAAAAGCTAAAATTTTTGGGGAATATGAAAAGATAGTTACGTAAACAAATTAAGTCATACATCTTTGCCCATGTTTACACTTCCTGATAACTGAAATCCAAACAAACAAAACAAATGCCCTTGATGTATGCCCGCGTTGGAGATCTGTGATAGCTGAAGATGTCTAACCCGCAAAGAAGGCAAGAAGTTTATTTATGGGATACAGCAAGTATCATTCAGCCATTACATCTTTTTCACTTAAATTATAGTCATTCCTACCTATCAACAGTGGAGACTGATTTTCTGTTATGGCATCACTTGACAATGATATTCCGGTGGGAGCCTCATTGACGTCAGCTACAGTAACGGATAGAACTTTCACAAGAGACAAGGGCGGAGAGCCGCTATCAGAACACTTCACTTGCACAAGTATAAATGAAGCCTGCTCGTAATCTAGATTGGCGTTACCCACTACCAGCGAATTGGTTTGAACTGTAAATTTTCCGACCTTTTTTCCAATAACCTGGCAGTTGTGTGATTGCCATACGCCACGTGAACCATAGTTATCCGGATCGGTGACATTGAGCTGACCAATCACTGTTCCAGGTGCGCTGTTTTCAGCTATGTTCGCTGGCGAAAGAGTGATGTTCACTGGAGCTTCGTTAACGTCGATGATAGTGATCTTGAAGTCTTTTGCCAAACTAAGAGGGGGACTACCATTGTCTTCAGATTGAATCCTAACCGTGAACTGACTTTGAGCTTCATAATCTAAATTAGCCGAAGATGAGACGTACAGTTTGTTATTTAAGATCACAAATTTACCCCTAGCACTGTTCAACAGCTTGTAAGTAGGCGTTTGGCCAACGTCTTGGTCACTAGTCACCAGTTCTCCAACAAAAGCACCGTTGGCGTTTTCATTAACAGACGCAGCGTTACTTCCACCCAGAGTGACATTTTCAGGAGCATCATTTTGATCGACGACTGTGATCTTTAATTGCTGAGTCATGAAAGTACCGTTGTTATCCGTCACGCGCACCATCAGCGAGTACTCAGCGGAAACCTCATAATCTAGAGAACCATTTAACAGAAGATCTGTTGTACACTTTGTATTCACCCCTGGGATATTGGCGATGGACTGACAGTTCGCACGTGATGCTAATTTAAATTTCCCACCGGCATCATCGTCGAGATTGAAAGTCAAATTTTGCCTTGCGTCGTAATCAAAAGCCTCCAGTGTTCCGATCTTCGTTCCGGAGGCGGAGTTCTCACGAATCTGAGCATGTCCATTGGGAAACGACAGCTGACCTCCTTGGGAAGTGATATTCATTCTGCTTGGAGCTTCATTGACATCCAAAACTTCGATCGTGAAGGATTTTTCCATCTAAAATAAACAAACGCTGTGAAAGCTTGTACTCAGGCTTCATTTACATAAGTTAGTTAAATTCACAGAAAGCAAAGAAGTGAACCAATGATAAGGAAAAGTCAAACACCAGGATTCACCAACTGAAACTTAACAACTTAAAGCTGTCGTTTATATTAAACACAGATAGGTAGAACACTAAAGGTACATTCACAAGTGTTAATAAAAGGAAAATCATGTTCGCTTTGATTGATGCAACTGAGATGGGAACCGCGACTGATAATATTCGTGTATTTCAAAAAAAATAGTCGTAGTTATGCTACGACCGTCCAAAGGATGTGGCTTGTCCGTCGAAAGCCTTGTATCGCAGAACGAATTTTTGTTTCGTATATTTGTCTTTTTTGGATCCAAAGCCCCTAAAAAATCATGTCGGGGCTTACTCATATTAAATTGGCGAATAAAAATTTGTAGAGCATTTACCAGAAAGAAAAATATTGAAATATAAGAATATCTTCCAAGCGTATCTTACGCCTTTTTCAGTGTAATTGTTTGCGGTCGTTGGGATTTAGATGTAAAAATTATATTCGAGAAAACAACGCGTATGGAAATTCCTCAGCCCGCATAGGAGTACACACCTTTTCAGATAAATGAGCCAATCAGTGCTGGATATTCGCAAAATTGTCTTTCACGAAAAGTGTCTCGGTTGACTGCATCTGAGTAGCAAACGAACGCCAAAGGCTTTCAAAAGACAAACTTTCACTTTCTGTTGAAACTGATTTGTTATTTGTAAATCAATTTTTGGTATTTTTTTTTGGTTTAGATGAAAGATCGGATCATAGTCACCCTTTTACTTTGATAACAATTTCAAACTTTGAAGAGGATGGTCGATCTCGAGGTATACAGGTATATACTGGTCCACTTTGAAAGGCGACACTCCTTTTGGAGGGTGTCTTTTCAGAAATTTCCCCATTCTTTTTAATAAATATAGCACTCAATTAAAAAAAATGATTTAATATGCGAACTGAGTTCAATGATTTTACACAACCTTGTTCCCAAAGACCCTGGGAGCGAGGTTGCAAAAAAAAACTGCCAATGTGCAGCGCATTGCCAGCATCAAAACTTTTTTCTCGATTGTGCATGAGCAGATTATTATCCGTAGGCAGCTACCTACAATGACATAATGACCAACTGTAGTTAGTTTTGTAACTCTTTTAAGTAAACTTAGATAACAGCTATTACTGTAAGACTCACTTTCATTGGCGGGTTTCCGTTATCCTTTACCATTGCTCTGATGACATGTCTCTTCTGGCTTTCATGATTGATATTCTTCGCTGTGTACAGTCTCCCCTGAGAGTCAACCTTGAAGCGCCCACTGTCATCATTGCTCAGTGAATATGTTGCTGATTGGCTGGCGTCTTCATCACGTGATGTTAACCTAGTCACAAGGATGATTTAATCGTAAATAGTAGCTTTATGCATGGCCAGGTTTCTTTACAATTGGAATTTGAAGTTCCATCAACAAGGCAACTAGATAGGATTTGGTTGTTTTAGTTGTTCATATCTGTTTTATTTTGTTCGCCTTGTTAATTGTTGGCATGGTGATCGCAATAGTGTGAAACGAAATAGTACGCGCCTGTAGTAGTCTTCTCCCCACCTAACTGGCAAAGATAGATCACCATACCAGGGTTTACTACCCCATTTCTCTGGGCATTAAAGGCCTTTAGATTCAAGGACGGGATTTGACTTAAAGTTAGACACTCCAAAAACTACATTTTTCTTGTTTCCACCAGAAAAGTTAACACGGTTATCTTTATTGAAGGAGGTTAAGACCTCTCCCAATCGTGAAATGATAACTCTTGTAACCTTTGATAACTTGTTTCCGTCATTACGACATTTTCACGAAACGTAGTAGAATGACGACGACGATCACGTTTTCCCGCGGTGGTTCACGCGCGCACACTACTTGATATTTATTTGTTCTCATTGTCGTCCTTGTCTTAGAATCTAAAGGTCTCTATTATCGGTGTCTTCCTCCGACAAATCGCACTGATAATGAAGGGTGAGGGAGTTAAGGCCAATCATGTGACAACACTGCCAATGACTAATCGTCTGAACTGAGGCAAGGTATTATCAACAGCCAGCATGACCTGCTAGATAACTTGATGAAACCCGCGACCACCCGCTGAGGAGGCCCGCGCTCTTCTTACTGAGCTAACTGGGTGGGCGGAGGTTACAATAACTCGACTTGCAGGGAGTCAAAAACTTGGTTGTTATCATAATCTATAAAACAGAAGCAAAATTTTATATTTTGTTGCCACAAACATAAGCTAAAACGTTTTGAATAAAACAATAAGTTAGAATACTGTCACGTGACACACACCTGCCAATCAAGGTATTTATCTTCGCATCCTCCTTTACTTGGTTATTGGAGAGCTGCAAGTCACGTGGCATGTCATTGATATCTCGCACGTCAATTCTAAAGTTTTCTTCGTAGGACAGTTGTGGGCTACCATTATCTGTAGTCTTAACTCTGATAGTGTGGATCTTTTGCTCCTCGTAATTTAAGAAACATGACGAACCTCCTTGACTCAAACATTGTTTGTTGGAAATAGCCACCTGAGTAATAAAAGGCAGAATATTTGAAGGATCCTACCACACACAAGAAGGACTGTTTCCTCGCCAAGAGCGGGAGGTTTAATAAACGAGGCACAGCCCACTGAATTTCGAAGCAATTTCGAAGTATCGGTAAACCAATCAAACACTCTGTCCCAGTGTACTTGGTTTAGTTTGTGTAGTGGTTAACACTTCTGAACACAACACTTCTTTACTTTATTGTTGTGAGAATACTAGATTGGTGATGACTTCATTGTGCTTCATAGTGCCTTAGCTTGATAGTCAGACGGTTCGAGGAGCTAGCTCACTTAGAACTTGAGGGAGATGCGTGCAAGCGATCAACTTCAAACCGTCTGAGAGACGGACAAACGAACAAACCAGCGGACAAACGGATCGCTGAAACGGATGGACGGACGAACAAACCAGCGAACGAACAGACGAACTAACGGGCAGATGAATGAATGGATGGATAAATGAATAAGACGTGTCATGACAAGGGATAGAATGGCGAGATAAAGAGATAAGAGATAAATCGTTTATTGTATAAATACTTTGCAGTCGTAAAACTGAATTGCGCATTTTTACAAATAACATTGGTTAAAATATAAAACTAATTACAATCATATGAATATAAATAAGCTAAAAAATATGTATAAAAATCTTACAATAAAGTCGACTTCTTTGAAACTTTAAGAGCTTTATGCGCAACCCTGGGACATAGCATAAACAAAAGAGCGTCTGACACGTTCCGTATGGGAACGTGGCAAATTATATAACTTTTGACGCCTTAAGTTATAGCTGGATTGTTTTCTTGGTGGCAGCAGGTGGTGTAACTTATGTCCGGGATTGATAGCAATGGAATCGAACAAATGTCTACATAGTCCGTTGCGTCTATCATATAGCGTTGGCAGGCCTAGGCTGTCAAGGCATTCCCGATATGACATGGCAGGTGAAATTATGGAAAGCGCTCTTTTCTCTTTCTATATCCTCACTAAGATAAGCCGGGGGTGCGTGATGGAAAACCGGAGCGCAGTATTCTAGTACAGGTCTGATTGTTGTACAATAGAAATTCACAATGACATTAAGGGGAATACGAGCCCTTTTCAAGAGAACAGTGAAATACCGCCGCTTATAGTTATTAGCTTTCTTAATGCAATCTACAATGTGATTGTTCTATTTCAAGTCACTGGATATCGTAACACCTAGTATCTTCGCACAGTCTGTGACAGGAAGCTCGTTTCCGTCTACCTCGAGAGGGGAGAAGTTATGAGAGATCTTCTTAAAGTCGATATCCATCTCCTTGCACTTGTCGGCATTTAGCTGCATCCCCTGGGACCTAGACCAGTCCTCCACGGCAGTAACAGCGTGTTGCACATCACCCAGGGAGCCGCGAGGTATGGTTTGGGAGATTGTCGTATCGTCCACATACTTCCACGTGAGAGCGTCAACCTTGAGATCATTGATCATGAGTAAAAAAAGCCAAGGGCCGAGCTTGGTCCCTTGAGGAATTCCGGCGGGGACTGGACCCTACTCAGAGAAGCAGTCTGAGGACAACTTGACGCGTTGGTGTCGATTTGTCAAAAAGTCAGTCACCTAGGCTTTGATGCTGTGCGGCATATCGAGGCCATTGATCTTAGCGAAGAGTATCTTATGATCGATAAGGTCAAAGGCCTTGCGGTAATCAAATAACACGACCCTGACAGCTGCACCGGTACCGTCTGTAGCTTGTAACCAGTGGTGAACCATCGAGATCAGAGCAAACATGGTGGAGGATTTAGGGATTCCGCTTTATTGATCATGGTCAATGATCTTGAGCACAGCAGGGCGGACATAGGTCGATACAACAAAATCTTCTGTGAGTTTCGAGATGGCGGGAGTCAGGGAGATGGGGCGCAGCTGCTTGCTAAGATCTTCCACAGGCTTCTGCTTGGGGAGCGGGACGACATCAGCTAGCTTCCAGGGCGAAGGTAGACTTTGCTCTTTATAGCTAGAGTTCAGAATTGCTGTTACTGGTTCGGCAAGAACCTCGGTGTACTCACGCAGGAGCCAATTGGGTACACAGTCGGGTCCGGCTGCTTTGCGTGGATTTAGTTGTTTCAGGGCGGCCAGGACTGCAGGCTCTGATAGAGTGAATACATAGGGGTCATCCTTATAAGGTGCAACTGCCTCTAATGGCTGGAAGATTTCCATGGGAGCAAGAAAGGCGGAGTTAATTTTGTTGGCGATTTCAAGTTCACTGAGTTCGCCATCCAAGTGTAAACTGGAGAGAATGCTGTCCCAACTGGCACAGGGAACCATTCCGGCAATCCGTTTGACAGCATTCCACCACTGCGAGGGCTTGGTGGACTTGAGATTGTCAACTTTTGAGGCGAAGTACTTGCTGCGGAGCGATTTACGCTCTCGATTAACGGCGTTACTGTAGAGAGAATAGCTCTCCTTGTCTCCATTGTTAAATGCTTGCTAGCGCGTAGCCTGATAAGGTTTTTGAACTCTGCTGTGATCCATGGCGCATCGTTGACGTGAATCCTGTGGTGTTTGACCGGCATGATGTGATCCATACCAATGTGAATCGTGTCTACAAACAAGCTCAACTTGGCCGAGCAAAACTCTGCGCGGTTGAACAGGGACCAGTCGATAGACGAGAAGTAGCGTCCGAGCTCCAACTTTCTACTTGCCTGTGTGTCCCGCCTTGAAAGAGTTTTCCTACTGGAACCCTTTTCCACTGGCCTCGCTTTGGGGACCACAAGAACGACCTTATGGTCGGACAGGCCGAAAGGGGGGAGGGTTTGCACTGAGTTCGCGTCGTAGAGTTGGGGAAGGTTTGTGATCACTAAGTCCAAAATTTAGTCCCCCCGTGTGGGCTTGTCTACCCGGCGAATATTTAGGCGATTGAGATTCCCGCATAACAAGAAACCGCAACCGGGGTACTCTTCTTCCATGGACGTGAGGGACCCAGACAGATAGTTGACAAGTGCCGCGTCTCTGTAGCTGTCGTTAAAGTATGGATGGTAAATAACGCCCGCAATAAGACAAGGGACCCCGCGCGGGAGCCTACTAGGTCGTAGCCACGCCCACAGGGTCTCGATGTCCGGTTCGAGCAGGTTGTCCAGGCGCTTAAATTGGATCGAGTTCTCAATATAGAGGCCGACACCAACGTGATGGTCAGTGGGGCGCGCGGTTGCGGTAGATGAAAGAGTATCCTGGTATGCATGGGTGAAAGTCACTAACTGTGTCTTTTAACCATGTCTCGGTAAAAAACCCTAAATTGGGTTTTAAATCCATGATAACGGAGCGTACTTCATCAATCTTGGGTGCCAAAGACATAGTGTTAGCGAGAAGAACACTTGGTCCAAACACAGACTTTTTTCCGTCCGATCGAATTGGAACAACAAGGTTTGAGTTGTTGCGACAATGGTGGAGCCTGGCCGAGCTAGAAAACGAGTTTCACAGACGAACTTGAGGCGACACCACGGAAATGTGGTTGTTGTTTACATGTCCAACATTTGGATCACGCGAGCAGTCTTGTAGAGAAATTTCCAAAGGTGGCAAATCAAAGACAATGGAGGCACTGGACCGATAACTGGAAAAGGTGTTAACTTGAATATCTAATGTTGATGATAAAGAATGGCATGAGATGGGGCTCGTTTCGGCCCAGGTATAAGGCGTAAGGGTTCTTTTAACCCTTTTTAGACTGGGCTTTTTTGGTCAATCTGTGACTTGGGGGGGGGGTCCCCCGGCCCCCCCCCCCCCTCTGTATCTCTGGAACCAATAATGCTAGAGTCATGAAATTTACACACAATTATCATCTCCGTACAAAGAAGCCCCACACCCAGTTTTGACTTGCCACGACCAATGATGACGTCACAGTGACGTCATATTCCGATTTTTCAATGTTTCTTATTATTTTTCCACTTAGATACGTAAAATATCAATAATATTGGTAAAGTCATCTCTTTGTTATCCTTTCTTATGAACTAGTAACAAGGAAACACTTGTACAGCGAGAAAAAGCGATAGGAAGCAATAAAATTTAAAATTTGAAATGGTTGTCCGCCATCTTGGATCCGCCATCTTGGATTTCCGTTTTTTTGTTAAAATTATAATTTAAAGCAATTTTCAAAGGGGAAAAAGCTCAGAATGTATAAAAGAAGTATCAAACTAATGTTTATTACCCAAACAAATGACTTTGGAAGTGTTATTTGGAAAATAGAGCAGCATATTTGTCAAAGCAAAAAAGTGACAAATTTTACCCCACCCCTCCCCCCCCAAATATTCGATGTTGAAACATTTTGATGTAATTCAAAAACTAGTCCCAAGCAAAGACCATTTTAACAACAAAAAGCACTATAAGTGTAAAAACGCGATCTTAAAACAAAAAAATCACCATTTTTTAAAGTTTCCAAAACCTATGTGTCAGAAACTGGTTGCCATGGCAACATGATTAATCACATGGACATGGTAATTAAACCAAAATGTTCCTAGATAAATTTTAGGAAAAGTCGGAAAATTTGAACGTCATAGCTCTTTCGGTGTAGGAGTTATCATGATTTTTTCGGAGGGGGGGTTCGAAAAGCCCCCCCCCCCAGTCTTAATAGGGTTAACCAATTGAATTTATCTTTTTAAAAGAAAAGTACGTGCTGAGTTATATAGGTTGTCTTGTGTTTAATGTAAGGAGCAGCTTCTCATATTGGAATACAGCATAATATTTTTTAGCCTTGAGAAATTTTACCTTAATTTCATTTCCATCAACTTTAAATCTTCCCGAAGCGCTGTTTATCAGTTGGAAAGTATGATTCTGTGAAGTATCTTGATCCACTGCGGTTAATGAGCCAACCAAAGTGTTCTCATCGCTGTTTTCATTTACATCAGAACTTGAAAGCTAAATGAACACAAAGAGAAGATCCCTGTTAGTAATTACCGCCCACGTAAGCAGCCCCTCTGGACCAGGCCTAGATATCCGCTTGCGGAAGATTGGAAAAATTCAATGGCTACCACTTCTCCCGCATTTCCTTACAAAACTTGGCGAGCCGTTGACATTAGAAAAAAAAATTGGCTCGGCCAGAAAGGTGACCACCAAAAAGGGTTGCCTGTTTCGGTGGTAGGGTCACCCTCCTCTTTCTCCATATAAAAACTCTGGCTCACCCAGCCGGTTCAGCTTGGTCAAGGCGAGACAATCAGAGCATGCGCGATCGCTGTTGTCTCGCTCTTAGATCGGGCAAAGGGTTCAAGTTTTTTCTCATAACGATCGCAAATATTGACTCGGCTGGTAGGATGACTTTCTTTCCCAAGACCACCTTTCTCCATAAAACCGGGGCCCTAAGAAATGTTGTTAATGAGACCCTGCGCCACAGGAAATTATTCCTGAAAATAAACAAAAAATTTTTCTTTCTATTTGCTAATACAGTCTAAGCTCCATTAAGCGGCCACCCTCGGGGTAACAGAGAGTGACCCCTTAATAGAGGTTGGCCGCTCAATGGAGGTTCATAACTTGTTTGGATAAAAAACAAATGTACCGAGAAAATATCTTACCACCATTCCATTAGGAGCATCATTTACGTCAATGACTTGGATCGTAAATGCCTGAGTTCTAGAGAGCGAAGGTATCCCGTCATCCTTTGCAGTCACTCTCACAAGCCACTGAGCGCTGTTCTCATAATCAAGTGGACGTTTGGTAACAAGACTGTTATTTTGGATCTGAAATGGTAGATTTGGGTCGGAAGAAGCGATTGAGAGCGTAAACCATTGAACCCGGTTTTTCTCGTTATCTGGATCCGTGACTGTTATCTGTGCGACTACGGTACCTCCTTTCTGGTTTTCTTGAACCTTGTCCTTTGATAGTGAAATACTTGTGGGGGACTCGTTGACGTCTTGAACAAGAATCACAAACGTATTCTCCACAGCGAGGCCACCGGGATCACGACACAGGACTTTAACGCTCAACGAACTTGCATCTTCATAATTGACGCCTGCACTTCCAACGGTAAGTTGGTTCTTACTTAACGCTACCTTCCCATTGGCTGAATCGGTCAAACTGCACACGTGACTTTGCTGTCTGTCAGGGTCGCTGACTGTCAACTGACCAATCAGCGCTCCAGTTGGTTCATTTTCCTGAACGCTTCGGTTGGACAAGGTTATTTTGGTTGGCTTTTCGTTAACGTCTTGGAGATTAATAACTAATGACACCTGCACAGAAAGAGGTGGGTTACCGTCATCAGTCGATTTCACTGTGATTTGGTGACTCGTAGACGATTCATAATCAAGTTTGGCGCCTATAGAAGTAAACAGTTTGTCCCCTTTTACTTGAAAATTTCCCCCTGGGTTGTTAATTAAGACGTAAGTGAAGTTTTGACCCTGATCCTCGTCTTCTGTTATAAGACTGTCCACTTGAACACCTTTGCTGTTCTCAGGAATTAAAGCAGATACACTTCCATCTAGCGTGACATTTGTTGGCGGTTCATTCACATCAATTACTGTTACGTTAAACATCTCTGTGCGAAAAAGACCTTTGTAATCGGTCACGCGAACGATTATGTCCAGGCTTGAGGTATCTTCGTAGTTTATATCGCCGCTGACAAGTAATTCTGTCGTGCAGCGAGTTCCATTGGGACTAATACTCTGGCAAGAAGAGTTGGATTGCAAGGAAAATTTGCCTCCTGTGTCATCATCTAGTTTAAAGGTTAGGTTTTGTACAGGATCAGTGTCTGTAGCCATTAAAGTTCCAACAAGAGTTCCAGGCTTCGAATTTTCCTTTACGTTACTCGAGGAGAGGACGATGGAGACTGGGGCCTCGTTGACGTCCATCACGCTCATAGAAAATAACTTCGTCATCTGCAAAATAGCAAGAAAGGCTTGTTTTACAATATTATTCCATTAACCACACTGTAAAGCAGGGTGCGTGTGTGTTTCACTGGTGCACGGGGGTGGGAAGGATACGAAAGCGGCAAATGGGAGGTAAGAATTATTTTGTTAATACCTCCAACTCTTCAATTTCTACTTGAAGCACTCAGTTGCCAGTTATCACGTGTTAACGAATAAAAACAATTTGAGATCAATACCTTCGCCTTGCTTTCCTCTAAAGAGACGCACTCTTAGTTTTACATGAGGCTAATTCTATGCCCACAATAATGTTGGAATGCCTGTTTACCTACCGATAATGATGGCTTTCCGTCATCTGTGACTTTAGCCACGATGTGGTGCACTTTGCTCGTCTCATAGTCTGTTGACTTTGCCTTGTAAAGAACCCCCTTGCTGTCTAAAGCAAATCTACCGGCATCGTCATCAGTTAATGAGAAATTTAGCTTTTGCCCTTTGTCCTCGTCGCTAGCGGATAGATTGCCGATCTTGAAGTTGATTGGCGCGTTTTCTTTCACCTTGTAATTGGACAATTTCAGACCACGTGGTTGATCGTTAACGTCATTCAACAAGATGTTTAATGAGGCGTTAATAGATTGCGAGGGAGAACCGCTGTCAACACTCCGTACTCTTATAGAGTAAGAAGACACGCTCTCGAAATTGAGAAAGCACTGGGAACCACCATTTAACAAGCAATTTCTGTTTGACTTTGCAACCTTAAATATAAAGGGGAAATTTTCATGATTATTGAAAATGGGATACACAATAAACACTAGCAGGCCTACCTGAGTAACTTTTTATAAAGAGACATAAAGTGACAACGGACAAAAACACATTGGCCAGTGATAAAACTTAAAGCTCTTTTGAGACGCTGGGAATGAAGCACTATTTTAGAGATGAAGCTGTCAGGAGCCAATCACTTGCTTGCGTCAATTCATGACTTGGCCATTCTTTCTCACCTTCCTTAAGTACTGTCTCGTTTTATTTTAGTGTGGTTTGATTGAGTTGAGAAACACTCCTATACCTTAACACGATTTCCTTGAATCTTAAACCTTCCACCAGCGCCATCTAGCAACGTGTAGATGTATGACTGCCCGTTATCTGGGTCAGCGGTGCTTAGCGCGCCCACTTCCGTGTCCACGCCACTATTTTCATCAACAGTATTACTTGACAACTACAAGAGAAGTAGATCAATGTCTAGTAATGAGCTTGAACCAAGAACGAAGCATTTATTCATTTGGATCAACTAACGCAATGGTTAATATAGCCTATGTTTATTCCTCTCTCTCTAAATCAGCCCAAAGTGTTTGCTCGTTTTGTGTAAAATAATGGTTTGGTGAGTCCGATCATATCCTCTGCCTCAGTCTTCATTCAACCCCGCTCATCCGCTATCCATGAATTACATAGATGTGTTTACTCTCGTAATTTATGATAGCTTTAAACACAAGCGAGAGGTGAGGCGGAATCAAGGTCCTTGAGCGCATATTAAGCCTGGGACAAACAACAATAAAGGATGATGAGAAATTACGCCAATCCGCCTCGATTTCGCTGGTGCTCTCAGCGACTTGACTGGATTCAAAGGGAATTTGTCTCTCAGGCTCTGGGTTTAAAACAAATCTCATACATTTGGACTCTTTCTGGTGCACTCTCTAAGAGTTCGAACTCGTCTAGGCCCTATCGCTCAACCTTATCAGTTTAAATAGCAGTGCGTAAACTAGGGGCCCAAGGAGAGTGCGACGTTAGATCTATACAATAGCTCTTAACGTAAATGCTCTACACTTCATACATTAACTTGCGGCAGGCACCGGAGCACAGATTAGGTAACTGAACAAAAGAAACGACAGAACCAAACAATACACCTCGTAACGAAAGTTTTGTTGTTTGAGTTATTATTGTGTTTCTCGTGTCCTGCCAAACCGATCAATGGAATTTTCACACGGGTCATTTATGATTATAAATTAGAAGCCACACTCTGCTTACCTGGATCGCCGTAGGCTTTTCATTCAGATCTGTCACCGAGATTGTAAATGTTTTTTCCAACCTCATTGGCGGACTGCCGTTGTCTGTGCTTCTTATTACGAGTGAAAACCTACTGCGTAACACAAACAGAAATTTTCAGCCCAAGAAGGAATGACCACAAACTAAAAGGGTAAAACTCAGTTCTAATTAATTTTGTAAAAACCTTTTGGATATGGACAGGAAACACAGCAGCTGACTTCAAGTCAAAACAGCCGAAGAAGTTGGAAAATTCTGGACTTATGAGGTACCGATTATCCATTCGATAAACATGGACTGGTGTTAGTCGACTCAGGCACCTAGGGCCAGCTGTGGTACCACAGTTTGAAACGTGCGGAAAGAGAGTCAGAAAACAGGATTTTCTCCGCCGTTAACCGTTATATTTTCTGCTTTCTCTTCGCACGTGGTTAGTCGGTTTATTCACTATTTAGTGTGTCGTTTTCTTTCGGGCCACATTATTTCTCCTTTTGAGCGCTTACTCTCTTTCCAGGTCTGTTCCATAGCTATTTCTCAATTTAGTTCTTGTATCGTTGCTAAATGAGTATTTACCACTTACTTAACGCTACACATTCATATTAAAAAAATCTAACGTATTTGTGGCTATTTTCTCCCGCAGCTGCACGTAGTTTAAGCTCAATAAACTAATGCGTGGTCATTGAACTACTGGTGTGGTTATTGAACTGTTGTGTGGTTATTGAAGTAACGAAAAAGGTCTATAGAGCAGTGAATAAGGGCACAATAACCAAGCGTTCACAGTGTGCTCCTTATTGCGAGTGAAAATCTACAAGGTGACACAAACAGAAATTTTCATTCCAAAAAGGAATGACCACAAAGGGTAAAACCCAGCAGTGAACAAAGGCACAGCGGCTAAGTGTTCACACTGCGTTCCTTATTGCGAGTGAAAATGTACAGCGTAATACAAACAGAAATTTTCCGCTCACTGAATAACCACACAGGGAAAAAAACTAAGCAGCGAATAAGGGCGCAATGAACATGCCTTCACACTCACCTGTTTGGAGATGTTTCATAATTAAACATGGTCAGTGTGAACAGATCTGCTCCTCGAAGCTCAAATTTTCCGCTCCCTCCGCTTACGATGCTGTAGGTGTGCTTGTCTTTAGTGTTAGGATCCACAGTGGAGAACGTGCCAATTTTAGTCCCACGTGGTTGGTTTTCTGGAACACTGGCTGCGCCAGACAAGGTAATCTGGAAAAGAAGAACGCGCTGATGAAAGCCACATTTAGACACAAGCCCTGGCTTTCCTAACTGGAATCTCGCCTGTCTAAAGGTAGATCACAACTACCTATTAAAATTGTCGGAAGTTTCTAAATCTCAAGTACAAAACGTTGTCGTAACAGGCTCATTTCATTGAATTCAAAAATTGAAAAAACATTATTTTTGTTGATTATGATGATGATAATGATGATGATTATTATTATCTACATCAAACTTGAAATGAAGAGCTTATTACTTTTAGCAATAAATTTTTACATTTAATTTGGTAATCTGCTGTGTTTAGGTAATAATAACACCTTCAGATCCTTGGCAACGAATTAATTGCTGTTATCAGTGAAACGAGAGTTCTCACAAAAGGTTACCTGTGAAGGCGGATCGTTGTTCCTTCGACAGTATGAAGACGCATAAGACGTCCATTGTCCTGACGTCTGACACGTGATTGTGGACGCTCCTTTTATGGAATAGTATTGAGGACATCCCAAGGAACATGTGACAGGATACGTGGTCTTACCTCCTGGGCACGTGACATTGGCATGCTTGCACGTGCTGCCAAGTGAAGTACCTGAAAATGTCCGCACGTTAGGTCTGTACAGTATAACAAATGACAAGATAGAATTTATGGACGTATTAATGAAAGAAATACGACTATCAAAACAGGTGCTACTTTGGCTGCAGCTGTGTCTGTTCGACCATTCCCAAAATCAAGAATTACCATGTTTTGCATAACAAACAGTCGATCTTATGGGCCATTCTCTATTTACCAATGTTAAAAAAAAAGTCTGAGTGGATTGAGAATTATAGCTTTACTACAAAACATCTGAACTATCTGAAATATCTTGCAGATTACAAAGAGCCTGAAAGAATATACACATACTGACATTCCGTCACAAAAAAGTGGCGAAGAAAGAGCGAAGCATTTTCTTTAAAGTGATAAAATGGTCTTTGCTTTACATAAACGAGTTTTCTTTTTACGGCTTCTAACTAAGTTGCACTTTTAAAATTGATAAACTAATTTGATGGTTCTGATATTATCAAAAACATTTTTTGGTCCGTGATAGATACATTCCCTCCTCATTGATCTTAATAAGGTTACTCTAAGGTTACTCAAGTTATGAATATGTGAAAATCATATATGAGAACTGCGGGGTAAAGAATTATATGGAAGAAGATCGTCGCACTTACAGACGCAACTTTTGCAGTTGCGATGAGAAAGCTTTCTTTTCGCAACTGCAAAAGTTGCGTCAGCCATATACTGCGATGATCTTCTCTCATATAATTCTAAGGTTACTGTTGTTGTTTTTGTTTCTTTGTTTGTTTGCGTTATTTAATATTTCTGCTTTATGCTCACTGACCTGGTGCACAATATGATGGTATTGGCATATTACAATCCTTGGCGATACAATTCTTCTTATTTCGGGCCAGATAGTATCCAGCATTACAGGAGCACACGCCATTGGTGCATTTATGCTGGCATCCATTGTTTGGCGTTCCACATTGTGACGTTTCCTTATATTTTAAACACCAAAAAAATACATGACTACAACATCCATGAAAAAATTGGGTAATTAATGTGAAGAGCAAATAGGTTCAGAAACGAGGGAAAAACAAGTGTTCTGGGAACTAGTTACGTTGGGATGAAATTAAGATTGAACGACACACTTAAGATGATACGGAGGGGCGTGTGATGGTATTTTGTTTGATGCTTTTCTTCTTGTTGGTTCTTTATTGAACTTGAATTCTACGAAGCCCCGGATTATTTTGCGTATGAATGGAAGGGAGAAAAGTCCTGAACGGAGCTTCTTGGTTTTTGAGAAGTGGTCTCCTGAGTATCTTAGTTACACCAACGCTCTGAAGGCCATCTGTCAGCACTCGCTCAGGTCGACAATGCCGAAGTAAGTCAATTGATAGCCACCGTTCGATGAAAAAATATGGAGAAATATTCTCGACGTGTAAAAAGGGGATCATGAATCGATGCTTTTCTTGCTCATGCAAGTTGTCGACGAATTTTTTTTAAAAAATTAAAAGAAAAAAAACAACAACAACAACATCAACAACACCAGTGCAACCTCAAAGTTTTCACCTGTGTAACCTAAAAAATATGACAATAAATTCTTACCCTAAGTGCATTCTTCCGCGGCACCTTTTAGAAATCTTAACTGTCCGCGTTCGCTGTTTTGTCCCAACAGCGCATTTTTCGCTGCAAACTCCCCATGAACCCCAAGAATTAACCTGAAAGTAAAAAAAAAGCAAACAAACAAACAAACAAAGAATGGAACCAAATTTTCTCAAATTTATCCTATAATTCCTCTCTGTTGTTAAAATATTGAAATTCTTACTCTCTAAATATCTTAAACGTTGCATCTTTAGGCTGTCCATGTACAAGGCAGAATTTTACTCCACGTTTAAAATAAGGCGGATTAGCATTAAATTTATAAAAGTATAACAGACATAAGACATAAGTACAGACATAAGTACGACAGTACTTCTCAATACTTTTTATTGCAGCGGCTTATCCGTATTTACAAGAGCAAGCTTTCCTTGACAAAGAATACTTGTTCAGTGGTGTAAATGGACCTCTCTGAAAATCACCCTGGTGAGAGAGTCTCCTGGTTAAAAACTGTTATTAACATTAGCCTACGTAAAAGGCTCTTGGAGAAAAAACGGGGCGTGCGAGGGACACACGCGCGTGTCCCTCGCGCGCCCCGTTCTTTCTTGCACCCATTACTTCCAAGCGCAGGCTATATTATTATTTATTATTATAAAACTGGACAAGTTTTCCTTTGATCAGAAAAAACTTGCCAATAATTTTTTTTCTAATTACACGAGCAAGGTTGTCCTTTGTCAAGTAAAACTTATTCGAGTAAATTAGGCTTAAAATATGCTTCAAGATCATGACCGCTAAATTAAAAAATAAGCGCGGGGCCACTGTGTATAGTATAGCAAAGGGCAGGATCACCGGAATGTAACGCCAAAAAGTCTTCGTTTACTGGTCTTTATATTGCCAATTAGAAATTAGAAGACACGTTCTTTATCAGAACGTCGTATCACAACGTTGAGAGCCGATGGTTTAATAACCCCTCTCAGCATTGCGTTGTGAGGTACTTTTGTGTCAATATCTTCTCGACATTTCTTTCGTTCTCGAAAAGTTGAAACTGTATGAACCACTTTCTCAACTTTGTTCAACACGAGCACTACCGCAGTGAATTTGGATGACTGATCTACGTGGTCTTGTATTCATTTCACCGGGTATGAACTCAACATATCTCAAATCTCAATTAACGTTTAGACAAGCAGTCAAGACCCACCCTGCAGACAAAGCCTTCTTTTGTCTTCTTGAGTGAGGAGGATAAAAGGAGGCTCTGCCTGAATCACGTCAAGGCTTTGAAGTCGCCGCAGATTGAACTTTTGGACAAGTCAATCTTGTTTTTCCTCGTCAAACTGGTTTTATCGTGTGCGAAAATCCGTTTATTGATAAACCGATGATCATAAACGAGCCCGTTGTAGCAAGCGCACGGTTTTTAGGCCTGGGTCCGAAACTACATCTTAGCCACATACCGCTCATGCTCAACTAGGATCTTACCTCGATTCACGCAGGGTCTTTCTCGACGGTTACGCCAAAATAGAGCAAGTGAAATTAAAGTAAGGCTATGCTGACAGGGTGTTCGAGACTATTTTTCAACCAGAGTTCAAAGTTATTGGTATAAAATATTTCAATACGTAAAAACAATTTTAAAACGTACCACGCAATCTCTATTCTCACGGTAATCAGTACACTGCCTGCTCTCGGTTCTAGCTCCGCATGCTTTCCCGCGGCATACCGCTGGCGATATTATTCGGCGAGTTCGGGTGGACTGTCCGCTTCCGCAGCCATTGCTACAAATTGACCAGGATGACCACGAAGACATGACGCAATCGCGGTTGTTGTACTGCGAACACCTTGTTCTCTCTCTCAAGGCTGGACAAGCTCTTCCATTACAATATGGTTGAACAGTAATGCGCCGTGTTCTTGTCTTTGTACCTGAGAAGCATTAAGAACTAATTAAAATCTTCATGTTTATTATAGAGCGATTTTTTGTATGACCTTGAAACGAAAACGCGCGAACAAAACAGAAACAAAAAACGAACGAAAATAGAGCGATTTGATTGGTTTATCGAACGGATACAAACGCGCGTGGCTTTTGGTTGGTTAAGCGAACGCTCGGGTGAAAAACCCTGTCGCCCAAGAACTTCCTAGAATCAATCGATACTTCGCTTTGGCGTCATACCGCAACGCGATTGGCCAATCGAAAGGTGCTTTCTCCATATTAGGGTTTTCTTTGGCGGGAAAACGAAGAGTCTATGTTTTGTTCTTTTCATCCATTGGCTGATAAAACAAATAACGGACACTTTCCGAAACCATTTTTCAAGGTCATACGAAAATCGCTGTAATAACTTGTTCCTGTTCAGACATGCCGATAGTTCCTAAAACTGGAGTAATTGAAATAGAAAAGTGAAAAACATCCAGTATCCAGTACCTTCGAACAAAAGCAAATTTGCACTTGCGCTATTCAGTCTATTTTTATCAGTGGTAAGTGGTTGTTTTCCTTTTTCCATGGTAATCGTTCTATAAACATTGGTAGTCACAGCAGCACAAATCCAATTTCTGTACTAGAACCTTATATTAATGGGACACTTTACCCTCTTCTATTTTAGATCAACCCAGCATGAATGATTTTGAATCGACACTTACAGTTCATCTTTGTGCCACTCAGTCACTTTGTATTTTTATCTACGCTTGTTTACAATTCTTAACTGCACCATTGTTTTTGTTTTTTCCCTAAAAAAGATGTATGTTGTTTCTTTTTATTTTTTTTTTAATTTATTAATTTCTTCATTTATTTATCTATTTTTTTTGTTCGAAAATCCAGTCGTTCCTTTTGCAATAACAAGAGATAGAAAATCTTTTGAGTTTATTTTGTATTTTTACGGATACTTCTCCTTGCCACTATCTCCCTTTCTTGTTTTTTGTTTGGTTGGTTAATCATGAATCAAGCTGTCAGTTGGCCATCCTTGAGCGAAACCACTTCATACAGGTGTAGCTGTAATTTTAGCCTGTGAATTAACAGGCTCTATCAATAGTAAGGGATATAGTGAAAGAAGCTCCCTTTCAACAGTTTTCCTTATGTCCCTTTATCTCCCTTGAACCCATAGGGAAGGGCCTATTCACAGGCGACGGTAATGCCTAAATAGAGGTCTTCATCAGAAGATATCAGTATAAAATAGGCCCTCGAATCACTCACCGGTTCCACAGGTGTTAGAACACGTACTCCACGAGCTCCAAGACGACACAGCGCAATCCCGCGGGCAGCAGCTGTGTGTGCACGTCGCACAGACAGCGCACCGCCCTGTGCGCCCTGACGTTATACCGACCCATCGATGACATGCACAGACTATGACTCATGGTCGAGGCGTAAACGGTAACAAACCCCTTGTGCGTGAGGTGCTCGACCACGCATTCATCTAAACAATGAATTAAAAACCATCAGGCACCTTAAGTAATGAAGACTATATGGTCGGATACTTACGTGAGAGGGAATTCACGCAGGCTTTGACTTAGCCATGTGAAAATGGGTGATTACATTCGCAAATTTTTTTTTTAAGTTGATGACGATTTGAATTTACGAATTCGAAAATTTTATTGAGAAAGCAAGCAACTGACAAAATTCATAGCAATTTAACACTGAGATAGAATTACATCTCAATGTGCTCGATTGCACTGATTTTTCTGAGTGATCTTAGTGATTATAGACTATTTTTGTTTATGATGATAATGAGGATGATGATGGTGGTGATAGCGACTGTGAGCTGAGGCTGATGTTCCCACTGATACTTTTGAGGTTAATGATGAGAGTGGCAATATGCAGGTTCTCGTTTTGATGTCGACATTAGGGCGCTTTAAAAACGACGGCAGCGACGGCAAAGAGAACGCCAAAAAAGCAACTAGTTTAAAAAACACAACAACAACTTTTATCGTGCAAAAACATTTTGATACACCGTCAAAACGCGAATTCATTTCAAACGTTTTCGATGAGCTGTAATCGTTGCCAAAGCTCCCTAGTGATGATTTTAAAGATGACGATTCATGTTAAAGGTCACGACAAATGTACAAAAAACACTTGACAAACAAGCAGCAGATGTGAAAAAACAAAAACAAAAAAAATATTAGAATAACCTTGCAAGGGATGGGAACAGGTGTACATTGAATTGTGTGGGTTAATGTAGGGCACGATGATCCTCCACAGCTGGGATATGAAGTCACCCTTCTTGTTCTTTTTCTGGTACCACTGTTCGTACTGCACCTGCCTGGAGGTGCAGAACATGACCCCCAAGATGACCAACTGCTAACCTGAAAGGAAAAAAAGAAACATAAAAGAAATATAGTTGAAACAATCCTTTAGGACACCTGTATTGAAGGGACACCTCTTTTCAGGGAAAAGGACACTATATCTGGGTCCCGTAACCCGGGTTTAACCCCCCTTCAGGGGACACCTTAGCCGGCACTAAAAGAGTAACTGACCACAAAGAGGGTTAATAATCACAGTTATCGAAACTTTCACAAACTGAAGTATCTCACTTAAATCGATATAGTGCACTTGTGTGAATTCAACATAAAATCACGCACAGATGGGTTTTCATTGTCTTTGTTGGCTAATCATTAACAAACCTTAACCTAACATCTATTCAGGGGACACTGCCTCGGTGCCGATGGTGTCCCCTGAATAGAAGTTCCACTGTAATGTGAATCGCTGGTTTTGCACTGTACACATTAGACTATCAATGCGCATAACATTATGGTCACCGTGTAAAAGAGCTGCTGCAGAAACATTATTTACAAGAAGTCGATCGAAGAAGGGCGTTGATGAAATTTTTTCGATAGCTGTTATTTTCTTCTGACTAGGGTGCGTCTAAGTGTGTTGGGAGTGTGCATTACGTAAGCGGTACGCGCGTTAAGGAGTTCGACTTCCTCGACGAGGTTTTTGGACAGTGGATGTTAAACTTGTGCTGAATTACTTTTAGCTTAAAATAACATTAGACTACTTACAATGAATTAACTTAAATGAATTAATTTATCACCTGCGAAATAAATGTACCTGACAATCTCTTGGACAACAGGGCCCTCGGCAAGACTTTGTTTGTGTCAGTGTTGGACAGGGAGTACCTTTGCAGGAAGCCGCAGTTGTTACCCTGCGGCTGCGCGTTTGTTGACCATTACTTTCGCAACGCGCGTTGCAAGATCCCCAACTAGACCACGAACTGACAACACAATTCACCGGGCAGCATCTGGAAATTGAGAAAAAAAAGGCAACAAAATTAGAAACAGAAAGCTAGGAAAAAGTGCTGGAAAACGGTAAATAAAAATAATTAATAGATAAGCCTTGGTAATCCGATGAGGGATTTCGGCTAATTTTCGTGTGAAATTCGTAACGGAAATCAATCCCCTTCTTTGAGTTTGCACCTGTGGTTATACACGCTTTTACTAAGTCTGGGCTCCATCTTGAATTTTCAATGAATGACGTCATTCGCGGAAAGATCATACACGTGGCCAAAATGGCTACCAAAGATGAAAGCTCTGTTGACGTTTATTTTGCAGTGTGTTCATATAAAAACGAATGTTTTTACTTTATTTCAAGAGGAATATTTCCTTTATACAATGTCTTTATGGCTATGTTATAGTAACTTTAAGGCTTTCGTGCAAAGATATTCCTGGATCGATGATATCGAGAGCAAACTAGAGCTGATTTACATGCCAGAAAAGAGTGCGAATTAAAGTCTTGGCTTCATCGTCGCAGCTTACGTCAACAGACACGAGCTTAACTTCTTCGCAGGTAATCTTTTTTAGCAATGGCTTTGATACTTTTTCATTTTTTATGCGGGCCTTTATTAAAAAAGCTGAAAACGGTTCAATATTACCGCTCGTAAGAGACTTAGATTATCTATCAGGTATTAAATAAAAGCTAATTGAAAGGATTTTTCATGTTGCTATTCTGATCCTTTCAAAATGTACGATAATTCTATCTCCATAAAAAGTTTATGATTTTCATCATCAGTTTTTTTAAAAATTTATGTTATTATGTATAGATTTTAGGGTAAGAAAGAAGTTGGATAATATACTCCAGTTGACCCTTGCACAGAGGAGAGGCCAAGAAGGGCCCGGAAATGTCCTCAAATGTGGCAAAAAACGCAAAAGTAACAAGGATTTTTCTTGGTAATTAAAAACACCTAGTAACAAATATCGCAGAAATAGCAAGAAAAACAAAATAGACTAAATTGTAGACAAGGGCTACAGGCTACATTTAGTGAACCTCAATAGCAGAATCTGTTGAAGGGCTTTTCTGGGAGAGGAGGGAGGGGAACGGTGGATTCGGGTAAGGGTTTTCGTTTCAAACACCGATAGTAAGGTCTTTACTGTGGGTTGTGGGTTCGAACGATTGTTATGGTGGGTTCTTGGCCATGAAAAGTTCTGCTACTACCTCCTTTTATTGCTTAAAATTTGCCCCCTTCTGTGAGCGACACTCCTTTCTATGCATTGTAGCTGTATGTTGATGGAAGAACGAAGCATACACAGATTGATATTACACTATTTTGCTACTGTCAGTAATTATAAATAGTGTCACGTTTGTAACTGATGATTTCATTTTCGCAAAAATGGAACGCTTTACAAAATTACTGGACAAGAACGTATTCCAGTTGAGATAACCATTAGTAATAGGGGAAAACAGTGATGGGCGGGTGTTCTGGGCCCCTTTCTTGCCCTTCAACAATTCTTGCCTATTCTTGTTACTCTAGCCAATTTGTGGCATTTAATTTTGCCATATTTCGAGGCTCTCCTTGCCCTTTTCCCTTTCTAAGTGTAGAATTCTGTTAAATTTGTTATTCTTGCTATTTTTGCCATATTTGTCGCTCAATCTTTACACATAGCATGAAAAATTCTTGTTACTTTATTACGATTTTTGCGAAATTTGCGGACTTACTGAAGCCCTTCTTGATCTTTCATATTTCCAAGTGTTGAATTTTGTGAAATTTGTTGTTCTTGCTTTTTTTTTGCCATATTTGTTGCTCAATCTTTTCACATAGGAAGAAAAATTCTTGTTCCTTTTGCGATTTGTGCGAAATTTGCGGACATCTCAAAGCCCTTCTTGACCTTTTCTCTCTTTCTAAGTGTAGAATTTTGTGAAATTTGTTATTCTTGCTATTTTTGCCATATTTGTTGCTCAATCTTTTCACATAGGAAGAAAAATTCTTGTTACTTTAGCAATTTTTGCGAAATTTGCGAACATCTCGAAGGCCTTCTTGACTTTTTCTCTTTCTAAGTATAGAATTTTGTGAAATTTGTTGTTCTTACTATTTTTGCCATATTTGTCGCTCAATGTTTTCACATAGGAAGAAAAACTCTTGTTAATTTTGCGATTTTTGCGAAATTTGCGGACATATCGAAGCCCTTCTTGACCTTTTCTCTTTCTAAGTGTAGAATTTTGTGAAATTTGTTATTCTTGCTATTTTTGCAATATTTGTTGCTCAGTCTTTTCACGTAGGAAGCAAAATTCTTGTTACTTTTGCGATTTTTGCAAAATTTGCGGACATATCGAAGCCCTTCTTGACCTTTTCTCTTTCTAAGTGTAGAATTTTATGAAATTTGATTATTCTTGCTATTTTTGCTACATTTGTTACTCAATCTTTTCACTTAGCAAGGAAAATTCCCGTTACTTTTGCGATTTTTGCGAAATTTGCGGACTTCACGAAGCCCTTCTTGGCCTTTTCTCTTTGT